GGGGCAGAAAAAAATGGCTTCAAATCCGCTAGGGGGGAAATAGGTATTCTTTATGGGGTTCGTGCCAGTGGAGTAGGATGGAATGCAAGAAATCAGGAATATTTATCATTTATGCATGGGGATTGACAATTTGCGGATGACTGAGAAAAAACTTTGCCTATTTTATAGGGAGGGGGTGTCTAAAGAGACTGTATAAGAGCTGTCAGATATACAGACCGATTAGACCAAAGGGACTATCAGATATGTGGAATAGGATATATTAGGTTATAAAAAATGTTATCTTTGCAACAAAAAAAAAAAGAAAAGAGAAAGAGCAATTTATGGATTGTCCTATAAAGTTGCTCAACAACCAACCAAAACTTGCCAACTGGATACAACAATATTACCTGTCAAAGTTTGAAATTCTTTACATTAATAGCAATTACTTCAACATGGATGATTTTTCTTAAAAAATAAAAAAAAGCTTGGTTTACTAAAGCAATTTATCAAGCACTTGATACAACAATTTGTCATTTTGGGCATTTTAATTTTTTCTAAAAATGAAAACCATGGATTTTTATACACATACAACACTACATTAACAAAATATTAGAACAAATAATTTACAAACTCAGAGAACAGATGACTAATTTTTATTAAAATTGCAACTTTATAAGAAATCATATACACCAGAACTTGGCAAAAACAGCATGAGTTTTGCAAATACATTCTAAAAAAATTTCATCGCAGATGTGGTGTATTTTTCCAAATCACAAAATCCATTCACAAACAATCTCAAGAGCTTTAGATTTTCTTTCATACGTCTTCAATGATTACTTTCTCCCATTCATATGTCTTCAATGATTATGCCCTCCAATTGTAGATTTATGCCTAATTGATGGAAAAGTGAGTGTAATTTGGTTTTGAATCAAGAAGGTGGAGAATATGCATTGGAAGAATTTCTTTTCCTTTTTTATGATTCCCTTTTGTGCTTGTAAAACATGTCTGAAACTATTAAATATGAAATATTGTTGTTTAGGTGCAAATCAAGAAAACTTCCCTTCTGGGTTTTCAGAGGGTGGACGCTATGTGGTGGGGCAGGAGGGAAAGTGGGAAAGAAGTGAGGTGAAGAATCATATGATTTTTTTGGTTATATAAAATGATAAATATCAAACTGTGTCACTAGACCCATTAATTATCTAGTTCGCAAGTTTTAATTGGTTATTGTGCAACTTATAGGATAATCCATAAGTTGCTTAATGACCATGCTAAAGCTTGCCGGCCGATGTTGGTGCAACTAAGCTTGGCTCCTATTCTTGTGCCTAATTCCACTGTATCACAGGCTGATAGAATATGCAGAGGCAGTGGATTGTTCATCAAATTGCAAGGAATAAGCTTAGACATCACTGGAGAAGGTAGTGGGTGGAGCAAATTGATCTACGAAGGCAACAAAAAAGAACCTAACTAGCTATTTTAGAGGTAGGAGATCATCAATGGGTTAATGTTAAATGACATATTCTTGAGTGTAAAGCTGTAAACAAATCAAGCCGCTTGTAAACCGGCTTGGTCAAAACTTGACTCAAGTTCGGTCAACATTGAACTCAAGTCGAGTTTGAGCTGATCAAGTTGAGCTCGAGCTGAAAAAAAACTCAGCTCATTAGTTCGCGAGCCGCTGGATTATATATATATATATGTTTCCTCTATCCCATTGAAAGTGTCATACTTTCCTTTTTTGGTTGTTCTAAAATATTTGTCATGTTTGACATTTCTAACTATTTTATACTATGAAATTCTCTTATGCCCTTCATTAATGATGCATAAAGACAAATATGATGAGATTGTTTTCTACTTTGACCAACACATAATTAAGGGCAAAAATGGAACAAAAGAAAAAACTTTTTGGTGGAGTGTACTATGCATAAAAAGTACATATCCCCAAACATGACTAAATATATGGGACGGAGGGAGTATATGTTTATTTAGTTTTTATTTTAATAGTGAAATTACATATATATTCTTAATACTTTATTATTTGTTAAGAAAAATTTACTTTTTTATTCATTTTTAAAATAAAATAGTTACTTTTTATTTTTTAAAGCTCGAGTAGACTCGAACTCGAACTTGATTCTGCTCGAATTTGTGGTTAAGATCAAGCTTGACTAGACTCCTATGCAACTCTACTTGTGTGGTTAACATAACAATTTGCCCAAGTTTGACAATATATCTTATATGTGAACTGTGAAATTTTTCATGCTTGAGCAAAAAGTACTCAATATGCAGACAATCGTGCTACATGATGTAAAATATGTGTTATGATCAACTGCTTTCTTCTTTTTGCTGGTATATGACATCAGAAAATGTTTCTGTCCGGGTAAAAAGCGTGAAACATTCTGGGACATTGAAAAATATCAGTTTTCGCAAGTTTGTATAAGTGCACCTTTCTCCACAAATTTGTTGTAAGGTTTTAATTCCTATAGGGCTTCCTTTGCCGGGGACAAAATATTGGTACTGGTGGCAGATGTTTTTATTTCTTTACCTGGTTTTTGGCTGGTTCATGAATAGAATTGTTTGTAAGATTTCTCCTAGTTATTTCAAGATTGATGCTTCTAAGAGCAAGGAGACTCTCCCACTAATGGTCATCTGATTCACAAATGTTAGACTATATAAGACCTTTAAGGCTTGTATACTCCAATGCTTTAGAGCATGAACAGATTGTAAAGCAACAAATAAAATGAATTACTAGACAATCTATGAAAAGCTAATCGCTATAACCTTTGGCTGTCCCTAATACATATTAATCAGTTTCAGTTTGTCAAGTATGTGAAGTTTTTCTTGGTTTTAGCACTGATTCATCTAGATTGCGATCCTGGCAGTAGTTAGTGTGTCAGGGCACTTCAATAGCCAAGAGCATGGGTCGACTCTAAGCATTATTCTGGTCTTTCATGGTAGCGTTTGTTCAACAGCTCATGATATGCAAAGCTATTAACATTTTTCTTTAAACACATTCATACATATGAATACATGTTTACGCACACTACCAAACGCACTTTTATGCATGTATGTCTACGTGCAACATGAGGGATACTAGCCTTTTGACTTAAAAAGCTTTCTGCTCTCATGTGAACAATAATCTCACCATATATTAGTTATAGTTCTCAAGTCTTTCCATTTTCTTTGTACTGCCATTTTTTCTTTTCTTGTGTTCATCTAGCATAGTGAATGTCTATGCAAAAAAATGCCTATCATGGTTTTAGAGTTGGTAAGGAGTTCTGCCCGCATTTTGTTGGCCCATTAAAGAACACTTACCAATGCTATGGTGGAATTTTCTGAGTACTTTACTGTTTCAAAAGTATCATGCATAGCCCACGGTTATCAATAGCCAGAGATTATCCTTGGCTTGCAGCAAGTTTTGTTTGTCTGCTATTGTATTCTTAATAGCCAATAGCCTACAATGAAAAAGAAATGAGGAAAGAAGTATAAAGTGAATTTAGAGAGGAGAGTAGTGATTGATTCACATGCCTTCTCAAAATGTACCTGGTAACAAGCCTTTGGAATTGGTAAATTGACATTCTTTTATTGGTTTTTTTTCCCCTGGGTTGCGGAGACTCTGTCCTCACAGTTACCTGGCTAAGGTCCTTAACAGCTCACTAGACCTTGGGGACCTTGTTACGTTTCTACCAAAAAATTTTTTTTTTTGGGAGTTACGTTTCTTCCTGGTCACTTCTTTTCCGTGGGCCATTTCTTGCTGAAATCGTACAACATGTGCAGGTGGACCGGGAATCCTAGCCAAATCCCATGGACATTTGATGCAAAGGAGACTATGTACTTGTTGGAGGGCAAAGTGAAGGTCTACTGCGATGGCCATGACGACTTTTTCGAAATAGGGGCGGGTGATCTGGTTGAGTTTCCCAAAGGAATGAAGATCACATGGCATGTCATAGAAGCTGTGAAGAAGCACTACAACTTAGATAAATGATGCTTGTACATCGTGGCAGGAATAAGCATTATCCGCCATGATTGAGTCCCGTATGTTTGTTGGCAATTCTATATTTGTCTTGGAATAATTCTAAAATTGTAGTAATAATTGGATCGCTCTGATTGGATTAGAGTCACTTGACGACTAAATCCACTACCGTCCTTATCTAATGACTCTGTCTCCAATTGAAAATCGATATGAATGCCAATCCTCCCATGAGTGGAGCCTTCACGACGACGGAGGGTCAAGTTAAAGCTGGGATGAGTGCAGCCTTATCAACACAGGATATTATACTCTGCAGGGCAAGATTTCACAAGATTAGTGTGATGTTCTGGTCGAAAATGAAGCTGTAATTTCACAAGAGAAATGGTGCATTAAGTTGGTTCGGACCAGAGCTAAATAGGCGGCGTTAACTAGAATCCTCAATGGTTCATTGTAGAGTCAGTATACTGAAAAAGATGTGTAGAGTTCTTACATTGATTTAATTTTTTAAAGATGATGGACTAAATTGATAGACGATGATATATATACTAATGAAGGTTAAGACTCCGAAGATAAGGGATCAAAATATCATTTTCCAAGTGTTCAAACTTTGGTATCAAGCTTTGCATTTTAGGATTTTTATGATTATGTTTTTCATAATTCTACAACCACAATCTATCATAATAAATGGGGTAAATCTTTTATATACTATCAATGTACAATTTTTTTTTTCAATTGCAGGTTTAGATTATGTCATATAACAACATGAATTTATATTTGAAATTTAAATTATGCATATGTGTCATAAATTCATAGCTGCTAGTGTGAAAAATCACCACACTATCAATGTATAAAAAGTTAAATTAATCCTAATAAATATGCAAGCAATAATTTCTCCTTCTATATTTCAAAAATTTGTAAAATTGCAAATCTTCGTACTGTATCATATATCATTATAGAAGAAAAGATGGGTGGTGCACCTCCAGTTTCTCATTAATTATCCATTTATTTCTATCTGGATTTCAAAACATAGTCTACTTATAGACAAAGATTAATGGAGTTAAATCCCAGTGTGTTCATCATCACTAGTACCACCAAAGAGTGGACTGTGTTAATTGTGAATGGATTTGACTGCAGGTGCAAGGTTAACAACGTATGATGGTATATAATGGCGGATCGTCCCAATTAGTTGGAGACCGGGGATCCTAATCCGAGTAACTTACATGTTTGGTTACACTTGGAACAGAATAACCCTACTAATCCGTAATTGTCTATGAGGATAAAGAGGAGGAGTCAGTTTCAATCCAGATATTGTGGAACAACAACCAGATATATGATTTCCCGACGCATTTGGTTACCGAAATACTACCTATGTTGATACAATTTATAAATTGATCACTCTTTCTGTAATTATTCTAAATTCGTGTACCTTTATATATAGCTGCTGCGTACACATACATTATATAGTTGTCATCTGGGTTTTAGCTGTGTGTGTTTTTATATATATATATATATATATATAGTATAGAGAAGATGACAAACTCTTCAAGTCCACTTATTGTGTGTTTCGGGGAGATGCTTATTGATTTCGTACCTGACACTTCCGGAGTTTCTTTAGCCGAGTCTAAGGGCTTTCTGAAAGCCCCTGGGGGTGCTCCTGCTAATGTTGCCTGTGCTATTACCAAGCTTGGTGGCGTGTCTGCTTTTATTGGCAAGGTTCTTCTTGTTTCTTTAGTTTCTTTTTCCTTAAAAGATGGACAAAAGAATCTCATTTTCTTAATTGTCTTGAAATAAGAGATAAAAGAAAGAAAAGGAAAAGAGAAAAAACAGATGGGATGTCCAATTTTTTTTCCTGAGCATACAGGGTTCTTACTGTCCTCTATCGATTTCATGTTTCATCTACGTACTTTGACTGAACCACCCTTATTGCTCCTGAATCTGCTTTTGAGCCGCAATCCTTAAGCAATTACTTGGTTGCTATGCATGAATTGAACAACTGAACTAGTAAAATTCATGGATATACATGATGGAGTGTAGAAATAATGCACATGAAATACTAAAGCAGGTTGGAGATGACGAGTTTGGCCGGATGTTGGTGGATATACTGGCAAAGAACGGGGTGAAGAGCGATGGCGTGTGCTTGGACAAGCATGCAAGAACAGCTCTGGCGTTTGTAACGCTGAAACGCAACGGAGAGAGGGAGTTCATGTTCTACAGGAACCCCAGCGCGGACATGCTGCTCAAGGAGTCCGAGCTGAACATGGGTCTCATCAAGCAAGCCAAGATCTTTCACTATGGATCCATAAGCTTGATTTCAGAGCCTTGCAGGTCTGCCCACATGGCAGCCATGAAAGCCGCCAAGGAAGCCGGTGTTCTTCTCTCCTATGATCCCAATGTTCGCCTGCCCCTTTGGCCTTCTGCAGATGCTGCTAGACAAGGCATCAAAAGCATTTGGTCAGAAGCTGACTTCATCAAGGTGTGTACTAGCTGCGTTTCTTCTTTTCATGGCATGCATACATGTTTGTGTTCTCTACATCGATGGATTACTAGATGGGCATATACCTTTCACTGGCGAGTTGTCTGGAGTATCATGTCGGCCCTGGAGTCTAATTTTTCTTATCATGGCATAATTGTTTTCACTCGGCATGTATTGTTTCGGATACTGATTATAGGTTAGTGACGATGAGGTGGAGTTCCTGACCCAGAAAGATCCCCAGAAGGAAGATGTGGTGATGTCATTATGGCATGATCATCTCAAGCTACTTGTCGTTACGGATGGCGAAAAGGGTTGCAGATATTTCACCAAGGCAAATATTCTGTTCTTTACTTGTTTTTCTTTATTCAATCTGTCAGTAGCTTTTGAGCAAATAATATAATACGTTTGTTTCTCAATAATTGGGCTTGTTTCCAAATGAGGACAGAACTTCAAGGGTAAAGTGGCTGGATTCCCGGTGAACGCCATTGACACAACAGGAGCTGGGGATTCTTTTGTAGGAGCACTGCTGTGCTCTGTTGCCAATGATCCTTCTATCTTCCAGGTACATCCCGAAATCCTAGAATCTGGTTGAATTTTAAGTTATTTTGTTTTGGTTACCAAGTGTTGTGGTATTAATTTATGTTTCCTCGTGATCATTGCAGGATGAAGGAAAACTCAAAGAGGCTTTAACCTTTGCAAATGCGTGTGGCGCAATCTGCACGACTCAGAAAGGAGCCATTCCGGCACTCCCCACGCCATCCGACGCCCAAGCACTCATAGCTCAGTCCAAAGCCAAGTAGAGAGAGAGAAGTGTTTGCCATGCGTGTCTGGGAGAGTTATCATTCACTGTCTTCATGATTTTATGTTCTTGCTACTCCAATCAAAAGACAAGATATTTCTTCTTGCGTACCAATGACATAATGATACAATATTCTTAGACATAACTATATGTTTTCACAATAAATTGTCGAGGGAGAAACTTGTTCTTGTTTCAAATCAGCAAGAATTCTCTTAAGCCTAAACGCTTCACAAGCTATCAGCAGCTGAACTAGATCCTGTACAGCTGAAGACAAGGCAGTTGTCTTTTGATTCCTGGAAGAACGTGAGATTGGATTTTATGCAAAAGATATATCTAGATGTAGTTTTCATGTCACAATTGATCCAGCTCACTAGCTCAGTCCCTATTTGTGTATCCTGTTCAACTTCAATTTTTTTAACAATAGTGCTTTAATTATGGAGAAATTTCTAAAATTATGATTAATTTTAAAAAAATTCTACAAAGGGGGCATTTTGAGTGACCTCAGACCGCAGACCGCAGAATGCGATCTCATCTCAAAGCTCAGACCGCAGAATTCTGGCGTGATGCCCGGAATACAGGAGATGGCACGGGCGTGTTACTAGTGCTGCTTACACCTCCCATGTCCTTGGTCTTGTGGAGAAGGAATGTTCCAGACAGGATAGTCACAAAGCCACATACTTCAGAGACAATTTGCGATGCATTTTGACTGTCCCAGTCCTGCATGAAAAGTTTGAAAGTCAGCCTTTTGTTGGTCTGGTGGAAGCTCAACAATGGCGGACAACAACCGACGAGAAAGAAAGAGATTGAGGGATTTTGGGCAAATGGAGAAAGACGGATGCCGGACTTGAATGGAGCTAGCTACCAGAGATGGGTTCCCAAAGGGGAAGCTCTGCAATGGCCGAGAGCTTCCGATGCTTCCGATGACAGCTTCGGACGAGAAGAAATGCCGCCTTTCTGGTTTCGCCTGAGGAGAAACGCCGCACGGGCTGACAAAATTGCAGAGCTTCCGAGGAGAATTCCGACAGCTTCCGACGACAAAGCTGTGAATCTGATTTCCAAGATAATTTTGAGAGTGAGGAGGCTGCACGGAGAGAGTGAAGGGAGTGACGAACTGAAGAGAAATGCGAAACTGGGAAGTCTGATTGATTTCAGATTGAGTACCTCGCATTCATGGAATGCGAGATACCTTAATCTCGTTTCAAATGCGAGCTTAGTAAGCTCGCATTTGCATTTGCAGAATGCGAGCTTCTTTTTCTTTTTTTCCGGAAACACTTACCTCGCATTTCACAAATGCGAGGTACTTGAACTCGCATTTCACAAATGCGAAGATCACAAGTCTGGAACCAGCTCCACAAATTACCCCCTTTGTAGAATAACTTTTTTTTTTCATCACAATTTAAGAATTTTCTCTTTAATTATGATGTTTATACTTCTTTTTTTAATCTCATCAAAATTCAAGCTTTGAATTTGGTTATAACATGCACATGATAAAATAAAGGGATCGTATTAAAAAAGAAGAGAGAGATTAAAGATAACTGTTTCTTCAATACCGAAACTTTTGAGCCCTTGGCAGATTTCTAACAATTCATTTTGTTGCAGCATGATGGAATTGACTTCGATTATTCATGAATTTGAAAATCATGCTGACAGGATAAACAATATCTAACTTTGTGTTAGTGAGACACATAGACTAGAGTGTTACACATACACTAGAGTGTTGTATCAACTTTTGGTCTCCATCCTTTCTTGTTGTAGATTTTAGTATCAACTTTTGGTCGCCATCCTTTCTAATCGTAGTTTTTAGTTTTTGGGTTAAGCCCGTAGGAGTTGAAAAAGGCATTCAATTTGGCATTTTGAAAATTTTCAGCAAGTATTTAACATATTTTTTCCTCTTCTGTACTTGGATGTAGGCATGGCCATGGTTTCAGAACCGCCGGTTCTGGTTCTTTAAAGAAGTAGAACCAGGACTGCATCATATAAGATGGTTCTGGTTCTGGTTCCAGAACCGCCGGTTCTAATTCTTCAAAAAGATAGAACCAGAACCGCATAGTTCTAATTTCGGTTCCTTATGGTTCTGGTTCTAGTTCTGTATGGTACCCTACAATTTTATTTAATTCTTTATCCTTACCAATTTTAATACGAATATAACAATATATTTAAAATTTCAAATAGAATGTACAAAAATAAATACAAAATAAAGATCATATTTTAATTTTATTATTATTCTACAAAGTAAGAAGTAATAAATAGACAATACAAATTTTGTGAAAAGTACATTACATTGTCAAATTAAAAAATACATTAAACTATCAAATGGTTGTCATGTGTTGACTTTCTTAAGTTGGACAATCATCAATGTTGAAAATTTCATTTGAAGAAATATTGCAAAAAATATTTTTTTGCTTGCTTGATTTTGAAGATGAGCTACTACCATCAAAACTTGCCATTTTTTGATAGCAAATAATCAAAAAAAAAAAGTAATAATTTAATACTTACAAATTATAATGATAGATACTAGAAGAATAGAAATAATTAAATAATTAGTAAAATATATAGAAAGTCCATAAAATTTAAACTTTTTTAAAACCTATTAAATACAACTAATTTTTTTGAATTATCTCACTACTTATATTAATTATTTTTAATTATTTTTAACGGTTCCGGTTCTGGTTCCATGGTTCTGGTTCCGATTCTGGTCCGGTTCCAAACGGTCCGGTTCCCGGTTCCAAATGGAACCATGGCCATGCCTACTTGGATGTATAAAAATATTCCACAAATCCAATTTTCAACTAAAGCTACGGGTTCAAAATGATTAATTCAAACTTCCTTTCGTTCGACAGACAAGATATTTTGTTTCTTTCCTTTCGTCTTCTATTTGTCGATATGAGATATTACACTCTTCTCACTTTTAGAACTTTGCATCCTCATAAAATCCGTTACAATCCAACTGCCCACTTAGTTGTGATGCAAAACTCGTTGCAATCCAACTGTCCAATTAGTCATGTGTGCGGGCTCTAGATTTGGCTCATATGGGCTGTAGAGATGACACTTGCGATCCAATATAGCACTTGGTCCCTTAAGTTCTAGAGGTGGCCCTCTATCGAATGTGCCACTTTACTCCGCACAGCACCTGGCTCCTTGAACGGGGTATTTTACTGTTTCATAAGTTCTAGAGGTGGCCTCATCGAATGTGATACATTGTTTCGTACAACACTTAGACTCAGTACTTAGCTCCTTAAACGTAACACTTTATCCCGCACTTAACTCCTTACACTTCCTTGTATAGTTGGAACCAAAACTATAACACCACTTGACTCCAAACTCAATTTGCGCACAGTACTTAGCTCCTTGCACTTTCTTGTATAGTCAAAACTAGAACCATATCAAAAACTTGGCCCTAGACTCATCTAACACGCTTGCTTGTATAGTCAAAACCAGAATCATAATACCACTTAGCTTTGGTCTCACCTCGCATGGTTTAGAGGTGGTTGACCACTTTGCGTACCTTAGGTTCTAGAGGTGGCTTCCACCGAACGTAACACTTTACTCCACACAACACTGAGCTCCAAGCTCGATCAAGAGGTGGCTCACCACTTTGCCATCCTTAGGTTCTAGATGTGGTTCCCATCGAATGTGGTACTTTACTCCGCATAGTAATTGACTCCTTATAGTTCCTTACATGGTCGGAATTAGAATCATAACAACACTTGACTCTAAACTCATTCTACACTTGGCCCCGGCCTCACCCTGAGCTCTTTCTTGTTTAGTCGAAACTATAATCATAATACCACTTGACCACAAGCTCACCTTGTGTAGTCGAAATCAAAACCATAACCACTTAGACCCAATCTCATGCGGGCGCAAAAATCACGTAAGATTTGTTTTGATACCATTTGTAATACCTCACGCCTAACAAGTTGGTTCAATAACCTTTTGAACTGAAACTACAAGTTCAGAATGATTAATCCAAAATTATTTATAATCCAAAAGACCGAATGTCCGTTTGCCCATGTGGCACGTTACACATTCATCGTGACTTTCGCAGTTGCTTAAAATTTACGAGAAAGCTAAACCAGAGATTCCAGAAGAATTGGAAATATAGCCTTGCTTGGAGTTTTGATCAAAGTATTCTTCCTCCCGTTAAATCTAGCGCTTCTTGTCAGTACTTAGAACTAGAAATAGAAATGTTTGATATTTTCTTGATGTTTTGCTGAGTTAACATGCTTGCGCTTCAGCTGTATCTCGGACCACTACATGATTCTACAACTAAAAATGAGTATATTATGCGCACCCAAACACCCCCCCCCCACCCCAAAAAAAAAACCTAGAAAAAAGACAGTTCAATGGCAATGAGAAAAGTCGAGCAACGGAAGTACCCCAAGCAAATTTAACATACCAGAATCGAGTAAAAACTAACAGCCCAAGGCAAATTTAGGCCAGAACCGAGTAAAAAGTAATCAGCATATGAAAGAATTTCATGGTAATCCTGTCAACAAAAAGAAATGTTAAATAAGCTTCTGCTGCTTGTGCATACGATTTGGAATGCTCACTTAGGCCGCAAGCATGCAAAAACCGCCGTTCTCTTTTTGTAATATTTCCAGCGCTTTTTGGACACACTGCCGAATAATCTTAGCGTAATGTTTCTTGGGGTGCGCCTCGTGCAAATTTATAGTGTTTGCCTGGTATGTATAGCCACATTTTACCTTTTTCCTTTAACTAACTCTTTTTCTTCACTTAAATCATACTGTCCTTTTGATAGACTGGAGCAGGACGCCCTGCACTACTAGATCAGGACAACTACATCAACAAATAAATGGAATTACGCATACTGCAGCAAAACACTTTTCCAAAACACAATTCATGTGATTCTGTGAGTAGCTACATGCTAATAGCTCTTGACGAGACCTCTGATTCAACCCCCTGCAAGTCTGCTTCAGATGCAGCAGCATTTTCCTACCAATATGTGAAGCATGTGTCATAGAGGTTCAATAATAAAAGGGTTAGTTGCAATTAATCCCCTTAAAGTATACCCCAATTCTCACTTTACCCCATAACCTTTAATTTTGCTCACTTAATCCCCTATAGGACAAAATTACCCTTTCATTATTTGAATTTTCATTTATCTTTTTTCCTCTCTTTTATTTCTTTTTCTCTTTCTTCTTTCTTCTCTCTTTCATCCTTCCCAATACAAAAATCCATCTCAACGGAAATTTTTATTTTGAATTTGTAATTGCATTTCTGGGTGAAGGTTTAAAAGACATTAAAAACTAATTTTGATTTTTGGTATGATGCCACATGTCACAATTTTCAAATGATGATTATTAATCAGGTCACAATTTCATTTTATGATATTTTCTTGAGAATAAAATGAGAAACTAGAAAGAAAAAGAAGAAAAACCAAAATTAAAAGAATTGAAAGGCTAAAAAAAATTGTATTTTAGCAAAGTGATTTGAATATTTTGTAATCATTTAAGGAGAAAATAGATCTCTGCAATTTCTCTTTTTTAATTTCAATTATTAAGATGAAGATTTTTTGTGGAGAAGAGGAAGAATTAAAGAAATAAGAAGAGGCAAAGAAAATAAAGGAGCACAAAAGGGGAAAGGAAAAAAAAAAGAGAGAAAAATAAGAGTTTAGAATAATAGAGGGATAATTTTGTCCAATAGGGGATAAAGTGACACAAAAAAATGGTTAGGGGGTAAAGTGAGAAATGAGTTATACTTTAAGGGGACTAATTGTGATTAACCCAATAATAAAAAGAGAAGGAAGGGGGGGGGGGGAGCCAGACTTAGGTCATACCACTTGATCTTTCAACTTGGTCTTCGCTAGGTAACATTCCAAAGCACCGTCTCCTCGAAGTATCTTTCCACCACACCCAGCAGCGTCAATTGTACCCACGGACTCTTCATCAACCACAACAGCATCTACTCTATCCATTCCTCCCCTAATATCAGGAATCTATTGAAAACCAGTAAATGCGTTCAACTTGACTAGAGCAAAGAAGAAATGATGTCAAAACATCTTTAAGAACACTACCATTTGTTTAATGATCATCCAAAGAATAGATATGCTCAAGCATGGTTTACCTCGTACATGGCATCAGTCAAAATGCCCTCCAAAATGGCTCTTAAACCTCTAGCACCAGTGTTTTTAGCCATTGCTTTTTTGGCTATCAACCCTAATGCTTTCTCAGTAAAATGTAGTTTAACCTGTGAAACATAATTAACTATTACTTAGCACACAAAAACCTAAGGGTCTAAACTTAAGTTTATGCATATGTACATGAGTATGCATGTACATATGCATACACACGTGTATTCTATGTGCATGTATGTATACATATACGTATTTTGTCTGCATTTGGCTAGGGGCTGAGATACAGAGAAAATCCAGGTACACAAAGGATGCAGCTTACATTATTCATGTTGAACAATTTCTGGTACTGCTTTCCAAGTGCATTTTTTGGTTCTGCAAGGACCTGAAAGAAAAAAATAAAAGGATTATTGTCATATTCCTGTAAACTAATGCATCGGCTAAATACAGCCCTTCCATCTCATGCAGAAACAATTAGTCTCTTTTTTCTAAATAGTTTACAAAACAATCCCAAGAACCAGGCATTTGAAATTTAGTCCAAATTCTTTACTGTCAAAAGTTGAGTCTTCTCATTGTTTGGCCAAAAACTCCAAAAGCCAAACACAATTATCCTGTCATCTCTCCTATGACCACCAGAATTGGCTGAGCCCAGACAGGTTTTTCTACCATATCTGTCTCCTCCAATATCTCTAATACAGCTGCTATGAGTATGACAAATGCCAAAATCTGACACCAGTACAAGACAACAATTTCCTCTCAGTCGTGCAACTGACTGCCCCCTATGAATATCTGCAGTTTTATGTAACAACCCCCATTTCATTTTACAGCCTCCCAAATCCGTATGTTAGTCCACTAAGCAATGGTTTGATTTGCATGTAGCAGCTTGAAGCTTTAAAACCAATTTGTTTCGTATTCAATTCTTCAGTACGTTATTGCAGTACAACTGCCTGGTAATGATTGATGACTGAGAGGGTGCCTAAATTGGAAGCAAATGGTATACCAGGTAATACAAAAGGATAAAAAAACAAAGGGTAGAATTGATTGCATAGGATTCAGAATTTGAATCTTGATGGGCTAACTTGCCACTTGGATGGGGGTTCGAAAGTTGAGTAGAGGACCTTGATGAAAAGGATGATTCGGGGATGAATCAGAAGTAGGCTTTGCTAAAAAAGGGCATAAATTTACAAAAGAGAAAATCACAGAAGGGAAATAAAGACAAAAAAAAAAAAAATTTCTTCCTTCAGTAAGAAACAATACCATACTTTGTCAAATTTAAGTTCAAAGAAGAAAGTATCAAAAGCGAGATGTAGAAATAGATGCACAAGGGGATTATGTAATGCATATGTCCATGAAGGATTACAATATTGAAACAAAGAATCCTAATGAAGAGTGAAACTCATGCACAAAAACAAAAGAAAACACAACAATTTTATGCTTCTTATTTAATTTCCTCTCAGATTTCTATAGAATATGCAATTGATTTATCTTGGTATAAACTGCAAGTAGAAGAATGTTGAACATAGAAGCTGAACTATTTTGCTTAGATTAATTTATTAAAATTAACAAGCCTCCTTGTATATCAAAAGCTAATCATGTTCTGTATTTTTTATTAAACACATATAAATATTTCGAAAATGAACATACAAGTATAGTGGGTAAAACAAAAATGGGAAAAAGAATGGCACAGAGGCATGGAAGTATTTTAAACAAAGGGTACAAGAATAATATACCATAAAAAAGCCACACAACTACAGACTCTCACAGATACACGTTATCTGTATTTTTAAGATGGAAACTATAGGCACTACAATATACCAACAGATTCCAAATGACAGTGCAGGAGCCACATGATACACACCTCTGCTCACACCCAAAAGGCCGCTTTATATAGTGAGGCAGATACTGTAAGTAGCACAGCTGATACAGTTTGAAACAGAGTACAAACGATGAACTAGAAAAGTGCATACAAGATTACCTGAACAAGTTGGTCCTCTGTTAGAGCTGATAAATTAACTAAAATGGGGAACCGCCCAACAAATTCTGGTATGAGACCATAGGCAATAAGGTCACTGCTTTCAACCTGAAAATCATGATATCTACTTAAAGCATGCAAAATACAGAACTTCTCAAATGCCAATGCAATTATTAAAACAGTCCTAATAACAAAAAAGTCAATGGCCTCACAGATTCCAGTAAGGATGATGTCACAGTGGCATTAGTTATTCCACCAGTTCTCAAGTTAGCACGAACGGGAGCACCAAAACCAATTGAAGAATCCTGCCGTCTGGCAAACAACATAAAGAAACTTGAATCCCATCAGAGAGACTCGAAACTAGCAAGCTAGTACTACAAAGAAGGAAGCCCTCCAGGGTGAGATGGAACAACACAATGAGTGGAACTTTACCTCTCAGAGATGGTCTTTTCCAAATCAATGAATGCACCACCACAGATAAATAGGATGTTTTTTGTATCAATCTGTAGGAAGTATATATTATCAGATCAGAGTGTAATCTTGTACATTCATGACTATTAGGAGAATATTAGTATTCTTGTAGATAATAAATTAGTATGGGTATTCTTGTAAATAATCGGTTAGATTTGTATTCCTATAAATACTAGTTAGTCACTCATAATACAGTGACTAGATGTTTTCCTCCCAAGATACCTGTTAACATAATATCAGAGCAAAAGTCCTAAGGTTAGGGTTAAACATCTAGCAAAAGTTTTGGTCATCGTGACTGTTCACGCGGCACTGTTCATCACAGTACTGTTCACGCGGACACTGTTCACTATTCACGGCACTGTTTACGCGCTGTTCATCTCGAGTTTTGACCCTTCATTTGGTTTGGAGTGCTATTCGCTATGGTTGAAAATCTATCAAAAGGTATTGTGACGTCTACTAATGTTATGCCAATGGTGATGCCTCAAATCACAAATTGAAAGTTGAATGACACTAATTATCAACAGTGGTCAAAAGCTGTTAAGATTTATCTGACAGGCTTAGGAAAGCAACGATATCTCACAGATGACTCTCCTACAGAGGACAACAAGAAACTAATGTGGATTCAAGAGGATGTCCAAATTCTTGGAGCAATATGGAATTCTATGGAGCCACGAATTGCTTACATGTGTTCTCATTGTGAGACAACAAAAGAAGTTTGGAATTATGTCCGGTTATTATACTGTAGTAATCTTTCACGGATGTATGATATTTCTTTGGAGTATTTTCAGTTGCAACAAGATAGCAAGACAGTAACTAAATACTTTGTTGATCTTAAGCGAGTTTCAAAAGAATTAAATGCCGTAATGCCTCTCTCAAGTGATATTACAGTTATGCAGAGGCAAAGAGAACAAATGCTTGTGCTCAAATTCCTGACCGGTCTCAAGCCAGAATTTGAACCAATCAAATTTCAAATTTTGGCAGGTGAACAATTACCATCCTTTGCAGAGACGTATGCTCGGGTCTTACGTTCTGCATCTAAGGACAACGCACAGGGTGATGGTGCTCTAATTAATGACAAATCTGCTTTAGTTGCTACCAATGGTCGGATAGAGCAACTTAACTTTGGACGTGGCTCTCGCGGAGGAAGAAGTAAAGGAGGTCGTGGAGGTCGAGGCACCCGTGAATGTACTCATTGTGGTTTGAAAAATCACACTCGTAATACTTGTTGAGATTTAAATGGAAAACCACCTCGGTTTGCTAATGCGGTTACCATTGACCAAGTTAAATCAAGTTCTTCAGCACAAGGGTCCCAGAAGACTTTTACCATATCCGAGGAAGATTATGTCAAATTTCTGCAGTACCAAACTGCAAATCACGCATCTCTTCTCACTGCTTCTTTAGCACAAAAAGGTAATGCTATGGCTTGTCTCTCCACTTCCAAAAATTTTGACTCATGGATCATTGATTCCGGAGTTACTGATCATATGTCAGGTATCTCTAGAAAATTTTTTAATTTTCAAGAGTCTACTTCCTTCCCTCATGTTACTTTAGCTGATGGATCTACAACTAAAGTTAAAGGACTAGGCACTGTAGAAATTAACGCATCTCGTCCGCTGTTTTCTGTTCTTTACGTACCCAATTTGCCTTTTAATCTAATGTCCGTTAGTAAGCTTACCAAATTTCTACAGTATTCAGTTATTTTTTCTCCTGATTTTGTTGTCATTAAGGATTTGAAGATAAAGAGGATGATTGGTGGAGGGCGTGAGCATAATGGTCTTTATTTTCTCAACTCTAATGGTCCGATTGCGCGCTCTGCTACTGTTTCTCCTTTTGAAATTCACTGTCGTTTGGGTCATCCGTCTCTACAAAATTTGAAGAAGTTGGTTCCTGCCTTGAGTCAGTTGTCTTCATTAGAATGTGAGTCTTGTCAATTAGGAAAGCATCATCGTGATTTTTTTGCCCCTAGGGTCAATAAACGGGTTTCGGAACCCTTTTTGTTAGTTCATTCTGATATTTGGGGTCCTAACCGAGTCACTTCAAAGTTAGGTTTTAAATATTTTGTAATCTTTGTTGATGATTTTTCCAGAGTTACATGGCTTTATTTAATGAAAGATCGTTCAGAATTATATTCCATTTTTTGTGCATTTGTTACAGAAATAAAGAATCAATTTGGTGTGCCTGTACGTATACTTCGCAGTGATAATGCGAAAGAATATTTTTCCACTCCTTGTGATACCTTTATGACTAAGTCCGGTATTCTTCATCAATCCTTTTGTCCTCATACTCCACAACAGAATGGAATTACTGAAAGAAAAATTGGACATTTAATTGAAGTTGCTCGGACACTTTTGTTGCACATGAATGTGCCCAAATAATTTTGGAGTGATGCAGTTTTAACTGCATGTTATTTAATTAATTGCATGCCATCCAATATTCTTGGAGGTCAATTACCTCACTCCATTCTCTTTCCTCATGACCCTATATTTAAATTACCTCCTCGTATTTTTGGGTGTGTGTGTTTTGTTCATCAGCTTGCTTCCGGGGTGGTTAAATTAGATCCTCGTGCCATTAAGTGTATTTTCTTAGCATACGCACGAGCGCAAAAGGGGTATAATATTACAGTCCAGTTTTAAATCGTTTTTTCACTTGTGCTGATGTTACTTTCTTTGAATCCACTCCTTATTTTATGAAGCAAGGTATGTCTTGTGAGTTAGACCAGTGTTCCTCTTTTCCTTCTCCTGATTTACCAGTCCCTTCATCTTTATTACCTGAGTTATCTAATTCACCAGATTCCACAACTCGATTATCTCGTCCTAATTTTCAAGTTTATTCTCGTCGTTCCATGGTTGAGAAAGCTCCTAATATGCTACGTACTTCACCAATTAACTATCAATCTTCAGATCCAGGTATGACGCCCTCCTGTGAGTCAGATCTTCCTATTGTTTTACGTAAAGGTAAGATACATTGTACTTCTCATCCTATTTCTAATTTTCTCTTATTCTTATCTCTCTCTGTCATATTCTTCATTTGTTGTTTTCCTTGATTCGGTATCCATTCCTAAAACTATTACCCATGCTCTCAATGATCCTGGTTGGAGGTTAGCTATGCAAGAAGAGATGCTTGCTTTGGAGAAAAATGGTACTTGGGATCTTATTCCTCTTCCCTCTGATAAGCCAGTTGTTAGTTGTAAATGGGTGTACATTATAAAAGTACAACCTAATGGTTCTATTGATAGATTGAAGGCTCGTCTGGTAGCTAAAAGATTTGCTCAGGTGTATGGAATCGACTACTTCGAAACATTTTCTCCTATTGCAAAGATTACCTCTGTTCGTCTTCTTATCTCTTTGGCAGCAACTTATAATTAGCCATTGCATCAGTTGGATGTGAAAAATGCATTTTTGCATAGAGATTTGAAAGAAGAGGTATATATGGAACAACCTCCTGGATTTGTTGTTCAGGGGGAGACTTCGCGGTTGGTTTGTCGTTTGAAAAAATCCTTATATGGATTGAAACAGTCTCCGAGGGCTTGGTTTGGCCGGTTTAGTAGTGTTGTCATGAAGTTCGGTCTGACAAGATGTGGAGTAGATCACTCTGTATTTTATCGGCATTCTAATATTGGTAAAATTTTATTAGTTGTTTATGTGGATGATATTATAATTACAGGTGATAATGTTGTGGGAATCCAAAAACTTAAATCCAATCTGCAGGCAAACTTTCAGACAAAGGATTTAGGTCATCTACAGTATTTTCTGGGTATTGAGGTAGATCGATCTAAATATGAGATTTATTTATGTCAAAGAAAATATGTACTCGATATGTTGAGTGAAGTTGGGATGTTAGGTTGTCGATCTGTAGATACTCCTATGGATCCCAATGTGAAATTAGCAAGAGATCAAGGTGCATTACTTGATGGTTCTAAGCAATATCGAAGATTTGTGGGTAAATTAAATTATCTCACTGTAACGAAACCTGACATTTCGTTTGCAGTGAGTGTTGTGAGTCAATTTCTTGATACCCCTCGTACTAGTCATTGGAATGCTATTATACGAATTCTTAGGTATCTTAAGAGTGCTCCTGAAAAAGGGTTGCTGTATCAGAATTATAGACACACTGATATTGAAGGATATAGTGATGCAGATTGGGCTAGTTCTGCCTCAAATCGAAGATCGACTACAGGATATTGTGTTTGTTGGTGGTAATTTAGTATCGTGGAAGAGTAAGAAGCAAACAGTTGTCTCCAGATCAAGTGCAAAATCTGAATACCGCGCTACGGCTCACGCTGTGTGAATTGGTTTGGTTGAAAAGCATGTTACTTGAAATTGGGTTTGAGCATAAATAGCCTATGAATTTAGTGTGTGATAATCAGACGGCTGTCCATATTGCGTCTAATCCAGTGTTTCATGAAAGGACAAAACACATTGAAGTTGATTGTCACTTCATTCGAGAGAAATTGCTTGACGGAGTCATCAAGACATCTCATGTACCGTCTGTAGATCAATTGGCTGATTTGTTTACCAAGAGTTTAGGGGGTTCTAGGGTGAAATACACTTGTAACAAGTTGGGTGCTTATGATATATATGCTCCAACTTGAGGGGGAGTGTTAGGAGAATATTAGTATTCTTGTAGATAATAAATTAGTAAGGGTATTCTTGTAAATAGTTGGTTATGTTTGTATTCCTATAAATACTAGTTAGTCACTCATAATACAGTGACTAGATGTTTTCCTCCCAAGATACCTGTTAACAATGACTATATCTCCAATAGATCAATGAAAGCATTTAAGATTCATGCTTTACACTTTCAAAGGACCTAAGAAGATCTCCTACCAGCAGACTGACAACATGGAATCATCTCACTAGAAGTCTTATTTAAAATCTACTCCATGACAACAGTAACAACAATGGCAGGACAATATCTCACAGAAAAAAGGCATCCTCTAGAATGCCAGGTCTATCTTGCCTTATTTATATTGTATGAGTTACATACTTTAGCCCAAACATAACAACTCAACTTGCATAGAGCATACAGCCAAACCAGAAATTAATGACCTTTATGTAGAAGAGATTTTGCAAGAAACCTTTACAGGTTACGCTATAGTCTGTTGAGGAACTGGGTGAATATGTGTCTTAGACAAGGTTGGACAGGCATGAGATAGCACTAAGAAAAAAGTCAAAGCAATCTATAAAGACAGAGAAAAGCCAATGAATTCAGTGATGACTGTAGAAGAAAAGAATCTTCTATAAAGAAGGGATATGCTGGGCAACTTGAAGTCAAAACAGAGGACACCTGGTGCGTCAATGAATCTACAGGCAAAGGTGATTCATTCATGTGCAGAGAGATCACCTGATTACAATAAAATGGAAAAAGGAGATGTATTGGCAGGGAATAAGTATGCCATAAAAGAGTAAAACTAAGAAAGTGGGGGAAAATCGATAATGAGCACAGTGAAAGGGACGTATAGGAATATCTCCCTATCCGAAGGAGGACAAGAGATGATCCCCAGGCAGAGCCTGCTGAGGATGCCTTTGCTCCAAGCTTGATGCCACAAGACATCAGAATCCTTGGGGAGGTAATAAGGCCTCCTCGTAGGCTTATGATGCCTCCGAACTATATGAGATTAATAGTGCCAGACTAGTATCAGTCTGAAGTACAAGGTCAAATTTGAGCCCTTGGCCCTCGGGAATGAGGCAGGCTGCCCCTGCAGCTAGTATGAGCATGGGAATGAAGATCCAAGACTTATGTGTAATGTCATGAAAGGGATGATGCATGGTGTGGCAGGAATCCTAGTTGCCATTATGCAACAAATGATGAGCTAATGCAACTAAAGATTTTGTCACTCTCTCACTCTTTGCACCTCATAGCAGTGCCTCACATCTTAACCTTGTGTCTTCATCTCATCCACGCAGAACCCTCTGACTTCCCGCTTTTTGGTTGTTTTCTGGACACAAAATCAGCTCATCCTATCAGATTGGAAGCCAACATCATGACATCAGGCCACATCCTAGTTTCTATATGCATAAATTTCCACCAATTGCATCGTTGATGGTCTAATTTAAAGTTGTCATGGTTTACCATGAAAGTAATGGTATTGGGAGGAGACTAGTGCTGAAATACCTGGGCTCAGGTCAACAAAAGCGGAAATCAAAACAGGTTCAATTATTGTCTGTTCTATCCTCAAACATTTCCTTTTTCTCTTGTATTACTTTTCTGATCACCGAAAGGCGTGCACTGACACAAGCACACAACTCACCAATTCTGCATAATCTTCCACCATCATACTTGACCTTTAGCCCAGGTATCATTTTTGGTTATTACTAAAATCCCTTTTTGGAGGGGAGGGTTGGATTGTTAGTGTGGATGATTTAGAAGATATAATCAACAGACCATAGGTGTGATGATCTGGGCTAAAACTCTGGAAATTCAAAATGCCAAAACAGATTCTTAAGCTAATCACACAGTGACATCTCCTAAGCCCAATACAAGTTTTTATGCATCAGTAAAGGAAACAAGTGAAAAATATATGTCAGTAAATCAAACAAATCAAGTAAAAAACAACAACATAGGGACATAAACATCATTAGGATTACCCATCACTCATTTCTGAAGCATATAAGATTTCCTAAAGAGCTACATACTGTTTCCAAAGGATAACCAGATAATTAGATGCAACGCAACATACCTGGATATGGTCACCGCGTGGATGTTTTCTGGCCCCCTTCTCAGGAACATTTACTATCTGGTTAAGCAAAATACACAATAAATGCAACTAATTACGAAATGCAGTCACCACAATGCAACTGATTTATCAATTTGAAGTGCAACAGATGGAGTGCAGCATAATTTGAAGGCATAAAAAATTTAGCAGAAAGCAAACTTCATATGCAAATAGGTTCCGCAATCATCAAACAAGCAAAGGACAAGAAAGAGATAAAGAGTATGAAACCGAATACCATAAACTGTGCAAAATTACAGGGCTCCCATTGACTAAAATGTTAATGAACTTTTCTGCTCCTGTGGCGTAAGAGATGAAGAAAATGGAGGAGACAGAAAAGTATACAATCTATAGCAATGGTGAAAAATAGTTTCTAAAGTGCTAGCAATGGAGGAGACAGAAAGGTAGATGATTTATAGCAATGGCGAAATGAATGCTATAGAAATGATCTTTTGTGATGCATGTGAGTTTATAAAGCAGAAAAGCACTAATACCCTTACAAAAGTGCTAGCACATAGCTGTTACTGTGTGGGTGTGGTGCATGTTGTACAGCAAAGTGCTAAGAACACAAATGTTAGTGGTTGGAAAAGACTTTGACAGTTGTAAAAGGGGCTGTTTAGTTTGGTACGCCAAAGATGTCCCACAGGCATAAAGTAGTCCATCAGGACACAGCATGCATTCTGGTAATCCCAGTATTTTTTTTTTTTTTTTTGATGAGTCAATCATCCCTATCAAACCATCAAAAGCTCCTCAAGTCTAGCATATCTGCATGAAACAGACTAGTTTCCTCCACCATCGGTCGGCCACACTTGTATATTTCCACACAAGCAACTTCGTCATGTGAAGACAAATTCATGACTCAAACCCAAAGGAATTGCATGCAAACAATCAAGAGGAGAAATAGAACAGAATAAATGGAATAACTACTATGTAAACTATCAGTTTAACTAGTCACAAAATGTTTACAACATAACTAAGCAATATTCCTATACCAATTAATCTGCATAATTAGAATAAAAACAAATAAACCAATTAACTCATAGATCAATTACCGTTCCTTCCAGCATTTTAAGTAGCGCCTGCTGCACTCCTTCCCCAGAGACATCTCTGCTAATGTTTAAGCTCTCTGCCTTTGAAGTTTACCACAAAACATAACAGGAGAAGATAATATACTGATAAGAAGTTAGACGCAGTCATGTCTCAAAGAAAGGGTGCAACCTGAATATGTTTACATTGAAAATATTAAAATGAAAAACCTTTTTAGTTATCTTATCAACTTCATCAATGTACACCATCCCTTGTTGTGCTGCTTGAACATTGAACTCAGCAACCTTCATGCCAAATTGAAAGCTCAGACGCTTGATCACTAACAAAGATATATGGAACAAGCAAAGAATTTGAACTATTGAACATGTTGGGTAAAACGAGGATTGAAGACAAAATTGTTCATAATAACTCGTAAAGTATAAACCCTACATTTCTTTTCTTTTGGATTTATGTTCATAGAATACATAAGAACATGTAACTGCCCCTGTTTTTAGCATTTATCAAAACAATTTGTAAAAATACTACTCCCTCCATCCCATTTAAGTGTCATGCTCTCCTGTTCTATTCATCCCAAAATTAGTGTCACTTACCAAAAGAGACAATAAAACCTTTCACCCACTTCCATTGATGCCCTATAATCCAACAACCAGATTCTTATCTTTAAGTAGGCCCAAAAGTTCACCTATGAAAAACAGAATTTCCATTTGATGGTGTGTGCGCCACGTTAGAAGCAGTAGGATTCGTGCATTGCACTTTCCCCAAAAGAGCTTGAAAACATTTCATAGGAATGGGCCCCACAATCTTGTCACCACTCTATCTTACTTTGAATGAATCAACACGTCAGGCTGCATAGCAAGTTCAAGCAGGGCATTCTTGGAACATAACCCACAACATTTGAAATCTAAGCGCTGTTGAAAATAAGTGGGATTCCCAAAGTGCGACAGAAATTTTGGGATGGAGGGAGTACTTGTAAACCAAAAGATAAGCCTAAAAAAATGTCATGCTTCGTTTAAAGCAACTAAAAGTGAAATTTGCATATTGTCTTCCTGAGTCAAATCCTAATTTAATTTGGAGTACCTGAAAATCTGAAAACATAAGACTCTCAGAGAGTTTTGGCAGTATATCCACTAAATATCTTAACATTACTACTGGTCAGCAACGTAAATAAATAATGCACACGATCATAATGGTCCACAACATGGAAATAAACTGAACCTGCCAAGCACTAATGGCACATGCAAAAGCATGATTTACCAATCAGCACCCAATGTTGCTTGCAGCCAAAACACATACATGGACATACAGTTATATGCAAGACTCTAAGGGACTCCAATTGCAATTCAAAGCATCATGCTTGACATATAGTGTTCAGACTAAATCAGATTGGAGACTCACTCTTGATAGTTTGAATACCAAATAACTGAAAAGGTTTTGCCAATAGTCAATAAGATTGAAGGATTTTTGATAGTCATTATCATTTCCATTTGGTAGACACCAAACCAGCTGTTATTCTCTAATATACTACACCAGTTGACCTAGAAGAGTCTCTCTCTCTCTCTCTCTCTCTCTCTCTCTCAACTCGAATACACACAAAAACCCACACACACAAACACATGTCAATACTATAACAGTTGTGGTACCTAAACCCCCTAAACCCAAAGCATAACCATGAACCCACACACACAAACACGTCAATACTATAACAGTTGTGGTACCTAAACCCCCTAAACCCAAAGCATAACCATGACCAATTTGAATACACTGTGTTTATTAAAATTAATGTGATCTTCATCAAAGCAAAATAGTATGTAAAAATATTTTGTCAACTATCATGTAATTATTTCTGCAAAATTATCAATCTAAATGAGTCTTATCCTCCTGTGTTTGTGCGTGGAAACATAAATGTTTTGGATCTTCATCTGTTTCTTACATGAATCTATATCTACTCTCAACCGCTGTGACTTTAACCCCCAATTCTATCCCGTTTCCATAACCAAAAATACTTTTCACCTGATCAAATAACCCAGAGTTACCTCTGTTCTTTAACCTCCCACACTATTTCTTCAAGCCCTTCTTAACCTTTGCTCTTATAAGTACATCCATTGATTGTGCCTCAGTCAACAGTAAAACATGATGCAATAACACTAATTATAATATATAGAACATTTATTGAAGGCAAAAGAATAGTCATTATATATCAAATTCTTAAATCATACATCTTAATTTTATATGGACCAACTTAACTGTCAACAGGGTAAGGGTATTCCTATGTTTCTCTTATGCGTTTACTATCAGCAAGCACGTTGCATAGGGAGGGGAAAAAATCATTCAGGTAAGTCAAATCAAATTTAATCTAACTCCTTCCAAATATTCACAAAACATTTACTCAAATTCTTGTCCAGGAATAAGCATTTCAATCTCAGCGGTTGCTGCCAGATAAAATGAGGATGAACATCCCAATAAAATCTTAAACTGATTCAACTATTGTAAAAACTAATTTGAATGAGTTTGGCAGGCTGAGAGTATATACCGTAAGCAATTTGTGAAGTATTGATTCAACATCCTCACCAACATATCCTGCCTGTACAGGAGTAAAGTACTCTTGTCATCTGGACAGATATAGGAAATTTGAAAGACCCAAAGAAGAATACGAGGCATGAGACAGTAAAAGCAGCAGTGATAAGAGCAAAGAAGAATCCCATCTGTCTCTTTATCAAGTGCACAGTATGTCGGTGGTTTTTTTCCGCTTTTGTAAAAACTATTTTAACCAGATAAAAAAAAAAGTAAAGTAATTCTCGAAAAAGTAGTTCAACAAACTCAAACAGTCATTTTGTGAAAAGATTTCAAAATCAATATTTCAGCTAATTAGCTAAAAGCATAAGCCATAAGCAAAGAACTAAACCTTGCAAAAAGCTAGAAATCAGCTGATTTTAAGCAATCAAGAACAAGATTTATTACGTTGAGATTACAACAAAACACTTTTTTGCTCCCCAAAAAAAAAAAAACCATTACATCAACAAGTATACTTACATAGCTGCACACTTAATCTTTTAAACAGATAGTTGTCCATATAATCATACCAGCCATGGATGAGTACAGCCTAAAACAGATTCACCCAAGAATTACTTGCCTGGGTTAGAGTAGTTGCATCAGCAATTACAAAGGGCACATTCACAAAACGAGCTAGAGTTTTTGCCAGCAGCGTTTTTCCTGTTTAACAAGAAAGTATGAACTACAAAGGCATTCTAAAATATGGAGACTCTACATGTTGAACCTGTCTCAATAAAACAAATCATCAAGGATGATCACGTAACCACCAACTTATCTTACAGCAAATGCCTTCTATTGAAATAAGGGATTAAAAACAAGAATTGTTAAGAAAGAAGATACCAGAGCCTGTTGGCCCCATCAAAAGCACATTGCTCTTCTCCAATTCCACATTTTCGTCATCATCATCTGGTGCTATTTCTGCTCCTGACCTAGCATCAAAGTACGGATTCAAGCTGTCAAACAGTATAGAAAGCACAAGTATAGTGTATCCAATTGTGTGAAAAAGCATTGCAGTTAAATCGCATCCTGGCCATGCATAACTAGACGAAAAGGAAATGATCACCAACCCCTTGTTCAAGCTGGCATGATATATCCTTTTGTAGTGGTTATAGACAGCCACTGATAACACCTGCAGCATGAAAATGAAGCCAAAATCACATATGAATTATAATTGGAGAATCTTAAACATTTCTAGCTGTTTTGGCACTCACAGAGTGCCCCAATCCACTCCAGGTCAGCAACCCAAATCCAAGCATGCATTTTCAGTAAACCACCCCTCTCCCCCCCCCCCCAAAAAAAGCCGGAAAAAATAAACAAAAAAGGGTTTACATATGTTGACAGTCTATGGACCACTATTTTGCATGAGTAGAAAACCTACTGACGAGAACTGGTATTGCCATCTGAGGACTATTGTTCAAACTTGCTTCCACTTCTCTAGTTCTGTTGTGCATTTCATAGTCTAATTACCAACACCAAGACAAGTGCGATGGTTGCATCAGTGAAACATAAATACAACATGATACCGCAATTGTGCAAGACACACATGAAAGAAAGTGAGAAACTTGACTAGAAGAGTTGCATTCAAGCAACATTGAGAAGAGAATTAAACACCTCCAAAAGAATGCCGGCATGAACTTTACATTTGGAGAAAGCAATCCACACAAAAACTTGACAAGCTAGAGATGACAGCATCAAGGTTTATATTCAACATGCAACAAATCAGGCAACTTAGATCAGAATTTAGAATACCACTAAGGTGTGCATTATTGTTCATGGCTATACAACTGAAACATGTTTCCAGAGGGAGAGAAGAATAAGATAAAAGTGTACAAAAAAGGGAACCTTTTTGGCATGATCCTGGCCTATGACAAACTTATCAAGTCCCATGCAAATCTCCTTTGGCGTGGGCAAACTTTTTCCCAGATTAGATCCTCCCCATCCACTCTTCTCTCCGTTGTTGCTAGTGTCACCACCCTTAATGTTAGGGGTGCTGGCAGCCCGCACCACATTGACACCGGGAGCAAAAGGTGGGCCAGGAGGTGTATGAACTGCAATCCCATCTCCCCCATTTCTGTTGGCGGGAGGAGGAGGAGGCAAATTCTCTGGTGGCTCACTGCCGTAAGACTTGAAGGTTCCCCAAAACGAGGCCCTAAGTCTTTTTCCCCATTCTTCTTCCGTCATTGATCTCTTGTCAGAGGCAATCCTGGTAGCACCACCGTTACTAGTTTTAACTCTCCCAATCTCCAGGAAACTCCCTTGAAGGGGAGCCATCTGGTGTGGACGGAAATAGTAGGCGGTCTTGCAATTGGGACAGAGGCTAACAGCCTGGTATTGGTGCACTCCTCCATTTGGCCCGCCTGTGGCTTGTTTCTTGTCCGCATTACTAGTGTTGTTATTGATCATGTTATTCGAGGAGGAGCTGCTGTTGCTCCACTCGCCATTAGGACGAGGATGACTAATGTTGTTTGAATCACAGTTATTAGTAGTATCAATAACACCATCATGGTTATTGGAACTTGAATCGAAAGGGAAGGCTTCAAAAGTGGGAGTGGAAGAGGGAGGAATGAGGTGGGGGTGACGCTCGGTGAAGAGGATATCCATTTGCTTAGCGCAGCGAGGGCAGTTGGCCTCCGCCCTAATTCTGCGAACCGTGTGGTAGTCGTCCGAACCGCCACCGCCACCGCCCCCGCGGTCCCACTTGTACCTCTCCTGCACCCCTATCAGTGACTCCCTACGCTTAAGATAAGAGCCCACGTGCAGGCAATTCACGAAACCTCTATTGTTCTGCTTTTGCCACGGGTGGCTCTGGCTCTGCTTCCATCTTCGTGCGGATGATGAAGCTGTTGTCGCTGCCGCCACTCGGTCTTTCAGCCTCACCCATTTCCAAATTCCCCGGGACATAATACCACTGTATTTATCAGCCTTAGCTCTACGCTCTATTCCTCCCCGGTGATAATATATAATGATGATAATACCATTTACAACTAAACTGGTAATAACCTACTCCGCCCACGTTTCTCCCACTTTAGAGTTTTAGATTTGTTTCTTCTGTAACGAAATTGACCGTAGAAATCGGGATCAATGAATGAACTCAATACAATTAACAAGTCTACAATCAAGTGTCGAATGGCTAGATCTTACTATCTGAGCGACCGTGCTTTTATAAGTATCTACTAATACTCTATCTTCTTGACGTGAACAAGCGAGCTCCAAGGCACACACCCAGGATAGAAAATAACGTTTAGGTGCCGGGAGAGTTCGTAGGAGACGGATTTGTTTTTTTAATGAAGCAGCAAAATAAAATGTCAAAAAAATGAAACCGACCCCCCTGCCCCTGTAGCAGCAGTTTGTGCCATCGACTCTTACCTCCTCCCCATACTTGCAGTTTGACATGCGTTCACATCTGAATTGCATCGTTGCACTCGACAAGTGGAATAATTGGGCTTCACAATCCACAGCCGCAATTCACAAGGTCATTGGGTTTCCATACTAACTAGATTTCAACTCGTGCAATATGGTTTACGATTATGAAAAAATTTAATACTTTTAATAAATTAAAAATATATAAAACTATTAAATAGGGTTAAAATGAGGAGAAGAGAAGGATAAATTCGTTACCAGACAAGTCCATCTTGCTTCCATTTTCACGCCATAATCAATTAATCAATGCAAAATTTAAAAAAAAAATAAATAAGAACGAACTAATGTAAATTAGAGGAATTTACACCTGTATTGTACATTTCAATGGTCGAAAGGTTAGACGTCCAAATGCAATCTTCTTGGTATAATATTACTAGGGGAGGAGTGTCCGCGCATCGTGCTGGTGTTTAGTGCCTGTGGTTGAAGAAGGTTTTTTGGTTGGACAAATAATAATACATTGCGAGAATAATATATTGCGATAAATAATTAGAAGCAGGTATGATTATAAGACAAATAACATACGAGTCTTTCAATATTAGAATCAGGAAGTTCCCGAAAACATATAATTAGATGCAGCAAGTTCCCAAAGGTGTACGGATAAATATTTATGAAATTATTTCAGGTAAAAACTACGAGATAGATAGCAGAGTAGTTGAACAAGACATCATGTATGTCTACTTATTTAGTGATACGAATAGTAGTAAACTCATGTAGATGCTGTAATGGACAGCAGTCAGATGCGTTGTTTCTTGGTGGTTTCTTCATTTGGTCCCAACTTCAGCATCTACATGATGAGTGTAGAACATACATGATCGAGGGCCCTCCGCAACTTCCTGCTTCAACTACTCTGACTGCTGAAGTTGAAAGTGGAGGCAACGCAGGGATGTTGGTGCCTTTTCTTGTCGAAGTAGCTACTCTTGGTGCTTTTGGCTTAAGGAAGCAAGTAAGCTGAGGGAGTTCTGTGGTAAAGGACTACACACTGCTAATGTCCACATTCGGTCGGTCTTCAAGTGGGTGAGTCATTAACTTACCAATAGAAGGTGATTAAGGACAAGCTGTAGCAGAATGAAGAAACCATGGGACCAAAATGAAACAGAGGCCAAGTGAAAGCCTCATCAAATCCCAAATTAAGTTAATGACCCTCGTAAAGATTGTCGGTCGGGCCCTCCGCAACTTCCTGCTTCAGTGAGGGGTGATTGTTTCCATGCCTAGGATTTATGCAGTATAAGGGCATAAAAAAATATCCCAATCCCAGAATATGAAAAGGTTGAAAATGAAGAAGGTGAAGAGAAGGCATGGAAACAATCATAACCGACGCAACCGTTGGACATTAACTTACCAACGTCTGGCTATTTAATTGAGGCTATAATGAGAAATAAATGGAGTGTTTCGGCCATAAGCTCGGGTGAGAGAGGAAACGATGCAGCATTCTGTTTTAGACAAAGGTTTCAAGAGAAAACCCAATCCCCGAAACTCAGGAGCCATTAGTAGGCCCATGTTTATGGCCATTAAATTCAGGTATAAATGATAGAGAAAGAGGTCTGAAAAGATGTGCTTCCACACCTAAGCTCTAACCACGGTAATGGTTGAGCAAGGTTGGCCTTTCTTATTCTCTTTCACTTGTGGGCTCGCTATACAAGTGATTTCCAAGTTCAGTGATCATTAATCAAACGGCGCACTTATAATGTGTGAAGGCCATTTCAGTAATGACCGTGTTGATTCAATTGCCGTATTTATAGTCATGACTTTTTCTTTTCATAATGACCGCACTTATGATGTGTGAAGGCCATTTAAGTAATTTCACAAACCCACAGGCTTATGTGTGTTGTACCAAAAGCAACAAATGGTTGCAGATTAATTACACATACCATAAATACCCAGATGTTTCAACAACATAAAGTTTTAAATGTCTATAAATAAGGGTATTTCGATTAATTAATATATAACCACAAACTTCCCTCACTTGTACCTATAGCTTGTAAAACACTACAGAATATTTTACATTCCCAAAAAGTCCCTACCTATGCGGTTGAAATGCAACCCCTTCTTTCACCAAAACTCAATCTTATATAGTATAAGGAAACCTACATAAAAAAAAAAGATTCGATAAATAAAGCAATTAAAAAGGCATGAAAAAAAGTAAGAACTAACCATGCATTCATAATAGTAAACAAACATACCATGCAAAAGTATTGCGTTCTCAAAAATCATTTTATACACCTAGAAAATCTAAAAGGGTGGTTTAAAATTTTTTTAAATCTACAGTACTCTAGCAATTACAAAATTGATGTATCAAAAGAATCACCACTAAATCGTGTCGTAAGTATGGGAGGGATTAGATATCTGAGTAGTTCTAGCTATAAACGATGGATACTAGGCACTGTGTGGATTAGATATCCCTATAGTCTTAATTGTAAATGATGGATACTAGGTACTGTACATATCAACCTATGTAATGCTGTAGATAACACGTTAAGTATCCCGCCTGAGATGTATGTTCACAAGAATGAAACTCAAAGGAATTAATGGGCCCGCACAAGCGGTGGAGCGTGTGGTTTAATTCGATACAAAGCAAAGAACCCTACTAGAGCTTGATATGCCGCAAACTCTCTTAAAATAGAGAGATGTCTTTGGGAACGTGAAACCCTGGTGGTGCATGACCATAACAGATATGGATAGACGTGCACAACCATAATAGATATGGATGGATGTCAAGTGGTTGATATTATCCTCCAGAACCATAACTTGAATATATCAGATTGGATCAACCATTAACGAGTAACACTAATGTAGGTGTATTTAGTTAGGGATATGCAGAGATATTACTTCAAGATCCATTATGCGTCTAAGGTCTTTTGTTCTTCTTGGCATTTGTTATTTTGACACAATTCTTTTTTGTTCTAAAAAAGAAACAGTTTGAGAAAGTTCATTTGGCCGAAATGAATTTCTAGACTTGCGGTTGCTTGTTTATACTTTTTCTACGAGATGCTGGAAATCTCTTTTACCGAATTGCTAATCATAATATATAGATTTTGAAGAATCCTATTTGACTTTCACCCTATTTCTTTATTTTTTTTTCAATCAATTTGGGGCTATGGGACTATATTATTATTGCCCGATTTCAATGTTATAAAATGGATCAATGGTTTTTTATTCTAAAAATAAAAATTTATCAATAGGATTTGAATTTTGGGGTTAATTTGATATGAGAATAAGATTTTCAATTTTATCAGTAAGGATTGTTTTATATATGAATTGTGATGATAGATAATAGGTTTATCTATTAATATGTGATCAAAGGAGATAGATACTGCTTGCGTTAAAAAAAAGATTTGTGATTAAGTGGATAGAATATGTTTATTTTGAATGTGATTAAGTGGATAAGAGATATTTATTTTGAAAGTTTGGAAAGAATCGATGTTATTAACACTAACCAATTAAAAGGGACTATCCGAAAGAAAACTTGATCCATAAATACTATTCAATTATGCATGCTAAGTAAGAGTGAGAAATAGATCCAATTAAAATTTCCATTTTGAAAGTTTGGAAAGAAGCGATGTTATTGACACAATTAAATGGTCAACCCAAAAGAAACTTGACGGTAAATACTAACATGCCAAGTAAAAGTAAGAAACATGTCTAGCTAAAATAACTACTTTCATATATTTTGGACTTGTTCTTAGCTACTTTCTTTCATATATTCATAGTAAACATTGGGTTTCTTCACAATCGTTTCCGTAAAAAAAAAAAAAGATTAATTTGAACTTGTTCTTAGCTAGTTATATATTATGATTTTAGATAATTAATTTTTAGTGATGTTCTCATTTATTTTTTTGTTCAAATTGTATTTTTCAATAATCCAAAAAGCTGAAATCCATAATCAACCAAAAGTAACCCTTGCTGATTCTAATTATTCTTTGTAATCACTTTCAATAATCAAATTCTGTAAAGTCTAAAGCAATCAAGATAAGGCCTATAAGATTATAAATTCTGATTGTGAATAATTAATTTTTTCGCTTTTATTGATTTTAATAAAATCATTAGCAAGCATTCAAAAGAAGTAATCTATTGAACCAGCACCCAAAGAATCAAAATCATCCTCAAACTTCTAAACTAAAGCCAATTTCATCCTCTATCTTTTATTTGGGTGCTTTTAACCCCTTAACTAAAATTTAGTTATCAATTTCATCCTTTTACAATAGCACCACCAATTTTGATCTTTTCAACAAAGGGTTCATCACAAATTTTGCTTTTCTTTTCTTTTCTTTTTTTTTTCCAAAACAATCTCCCCATACTGCAAAAGCTTTTCTTCATTTTAGTTTATGTTTTCATTTAAAAATTATATTTCCTTCTCTAATCACAAACCTAGCCTACATTTTGGGACACAAAACATAGATGGCCAGATTAAGCTGAAAGAAATTTTCGAGTTGATTCCATTAGAAAAGAAATGGAACAAAATGGATCGCAAATACGCTCAAGGCACTAGTAATAGCCTTATGCGGGTCGTCATGGTTTTTAAAGTAATTGGTTTGACCTCTGAATCGGATATTTGGAATGGGATACTAAATCGGGTCCAATCCGATCTCCTCATGTTGCAGAAGATAAAGAAGCAATACCTGTGAGTTGGGTTTTTGTGTCAGGAATTCGGGTTTGACGGGTATGTGAAAGCTCACATGAAAAAGGTCCTGCCAAAACTGGCTTCTTCAACTGCAATTCTATTAACCACTGCGTCTTCTTTAAATTATAAATTGGGAGTTTGAACCCATTTGCTGTGAAAAAGTCCAAAGAAGGTGCCTAAATACTCCTTTGACCTAGTTAGATTTTTATATCTATTAACTTCTTATACACAATCTCTTTAGATTCCACTTCCTCTATATCAAGATAGATTAAATTATAGATATGTTATCATTGCCTGAAAAAAAAAAAACTACAATTGTATTTGCTAATGTGCAATATATGTCGCTGCAGCTCAGGAAAAACATCACCCTTGACTTTGACAACAACCTCTACCAGACTGCTTTCAACACAAACAATGATGAGCGGTAGAAGTTATACTCAATTTATTCAGTAGTCTTGCAACACACTTAACTTGGCAAACAGGAAAATAAAGATTTTAGACAATTGGAATGAAGTAAAAGCACTAAATTGCCAATGTACTTTATCAAACAAGAAGTAAGGCAAATAGAGCTCATACACCACCACACTTTCCACAACTAAAAGTGAAAAGAACAAGTACATATTTACATATTGCCCCATACATATTTACGCAATAATTAAGTGTGAATGTAGTCATAAATATGTACTTGCGCAAAACAATGTTGGAAAGAAATACATTAATCCTTGAAAATCCGTAGAAAGCCTTCATTGAATTCAGGATCTTCATAGCACAAGCCACATCTTGACAAATGGAGCTATTTGGGACTTATTAGGCTTGGTGTCATAAACTTTGAATACAAAAAATAAGCAGTAATGGTAATTACTGTCGAACCTCATCGTTTGAAATAAAAGGGAAAGGATGTTTACAAATGAATTTTTCGATTTTAGAAAATAAAGAAAAAAAAACCTAAAATGAAATTTTAAATAATGCAACGATTTGACCTCAAAATATTAATCTAAAAAAGGTTTTAAAAAGAGAATCACCACTTAGTATCTAATTTAAATGTACGAAGCCATCTAAAATATATTTTAAATAAAAAAAATGATTAAAACCCTTTTAAATGACTTTAAGTCTTTGAAAATGAGAAAAAAGAATTCAAAAGTCACAGTCAAAGAAAGAAAAGACAAAAAATTGATCTGAAACATTCTTTCAATCTGGTCAAGGGTAATTGCGAGATTTAGTAAAAAAATTTCCTAATCTAACCTATAAAACTTATCATATTTGGATGTTTTTATATGAATAAAAAATTAGACCTAAAAGGGTATTGAGAGGAACAAAATTTTTCTTCAAAATTTAATTGGTGCAAATCACATTAATTGTGAAACTCAAAAATAATTTCTTGGAAAGATCACAAATATGCAAAAGATAAGACTCAAAAAGAAAATTATGATATATACATGATCTAGAAGAAAGAAATGCAAAATTTCTAGTACGGAAAATTAAAATTCATAGTACAATATTCCTTCTTATGAAGGGGGGTAATAGCGTGCTAAGGTTTAAAAAAAAAAATCCGTGCTCGTCTATTTTCCATATTCGAAGAACAGTTCTTCTAACCTAGACAACCAAATAGACTAACCTATTTTCTAATTATCTAAATGAAATGCAAGTTTAAATGATATAATTGGCGCACACAAGAATAAGAGAATAAAAAGATATATCATGTTAATGAAAATAACATAAAAAAATGGTTGAAATGCAATCAATGTCACATAAAATATGAATCTACCGCGAAAATAGCCTAAAAAGTCTAATATTAGATGAATCCATTTTTACAAATTCTCATTAGCGTTGGACTAGTGAGAAATCGAGGAGAAAAATCAGAATTAGCGTTGGATTAGCGTGATGATATCATGCATGAATTATAAGTAAATAAAGCATATAAAGCATAATTAAAACAAATAAACACATAAGACACATAAAGCATATAGAACACATAACACAGACATAATATTTAGATGCAAAACCCTATAGAAATTGAATAAAACACATAAACACATAAACACACAAGCACACAAGACCTAACTATTATATTGGGGACCTAAACTACAATCTAACGGGGGAAATATAAGATAATGAACCTATCTAACCTACCTATTACATTTATCTAATTAATTACATTTCTTACAAAAAAATAAAACCTAACTATTACATTGCCTATCTAACCTACTTATTACATTTATTTAATTAATTACATTTCTTGCAAAAAAATAAACCTAACTATTACATTGCCTATCTAATTACATTTCTTGCATAAGATGATATTATCTATCTATTACAATTTGGGCATTAAAACGCCTTCAAATAATCACAAGATTTAAATTAAACAAGCATAAAATGAAATAAAGCTTGAAATAAATAAATGAAAGAAAAAAAAACAAATAAAATATAATAAGTATACCTCCCTTCTGAAATAGACACTAAATGAGGGAAAGCCTGAGTTGTCTATTTTTTCAAAATCAACAAACAGGTCAATGCACCAATTTAATTAACAAATTTACAAAGGAATGTAAACATATACTAAACTCCCTTTTTTATTGTGAAAAATGTAAATAACATAAAGCAACCAAAAATTTACAAATTAAATGCATTTAAATACAGCACAATTAGCAATTAAAGAAGAGAAATAATTGTAATTGAGAAATAACAAAATAATAAAAAAAGTCAGGAGCTAAATTACTAAAATAAAAAAATTTTTGGGGTAAAAATTTAATTTTTCAAAAATGAAGGGTCAAAATTTAATAAAAATAAAGTTTAAGTGGCAAAATAAAATCATTTGCACAAATTTATAAAATTGTCTAATTAATCTAAAATCAACAAATTTTATTCAAAGCCCCAACTATAATCTAAAAACCAAAATTAATTTACTTAAAACGTGCATAAACATATGAAAAGAATTCAAGACTTTGAAGGGAAGAAATTTAATCCATTTTCACAATCTTTTGGGCCTTAGTGCAATTAAACCAAAATGGAGGAGGGGGCAAAATGCAAATATTCATTATCATCCTCCAAACTCATGCGGAGTCAGCAAACTAATGAAGAACTTAAGCCTGCAACCAGCCAAGAAAACATTGAAATGAAACAACAAACATAACTATTCAATCTTGCATGAAAGGGAAAAACAAAAAAAAATTATTATTTTTGGCCAAACACAAGTACAAGATCATGCAATCCCAAACACCAACACAAGATTCAAACGTCCAAAGGCAAGATTGTTCAAGATTATGTAACATGCAAAAGAGAAAAATGAAACATGCACAGCAAAGACAAGACTTTGGATCTCACATTGAATGGATTTAAATGCAGATCTAAGCTTGTATCCAAAGGAAAGTATGAATAAAGGTTATGTCTGATGCTTATTGAGCGTTGCAAAGTCCCAGTAGATGTCGAAACGAAGCAAGATCCAGTGGCTGCTGTTGGTGCCAACAATTGCCAAGCAAGCAACTTCAAGCTCTGATTTGAGGGTCTTGAAGCTGTTTTTCTTGATACCTCTCAACGCAAAAGTTTCTGTAATACGGTCCTAGAAGACGCAGAAACATAGAAATCGCCACAAAGATCTCAATAAAAGCAAGAAAATGATGATGAACACGACTGGTCGATCAGTCTGTTCTCTGTTTTTGCAGAAAACTTTTTTAGGAGGGCAGTTTCGGGCTTCGATTTGAGGGGTTTGTAATGGTTATTGGCGAAATATTTCAACACACAATTTATTCCTCTATATCCTTAGAAGGTGCATACAAACAAGGGTAAATCTTATATACACTGACAGTGTATACACTATCACTGTTTGATTCATGACATGTGTACAAAAATTGAATTTTAAATTTAAATTCTACATAGTTTTCATTCATTCAACGCTGAAAGTGTAGTGTAGGAAAGATTAATCCAAAAAATAATCACTGGATCAATAAAGAAAGAGAAAATCGAATTGGAAGAGAGCTGGTCCACCAGCTTGTTTTCAAAATCTGTAGAAAAAACTGCTTTTGTTTTCTTCCTTTTTCTCTCTCCCTACACTCATAGATCTTGTGCAATTGCCCCATCACTCGTTTCCCTCTCTTAGAAACCCTAACATCTCTCTTTGCTCACTATTTAAATGGAATAGAATTCCCAAAACCTAAGAATAAGGGTTTGGATTGAAAGGGGGTAATGTGACTTGTTTTGACCCTTTTGATCTGCTTGTTGAGTTGATTTTTGGATAGAAATTCGAGCGAAGAACTATTCCAGTACTATCCAAAACTTGGAGAGAAAGAAAAGGAATTCGAGTGATGAACTACGCATGTACTATCCAAAACTTGGAGAGAAAAAAAGGAGAAAAATCCATAAAAAAAAAAGCTGCCCAAAATTTCCAACTATTCTGAATTTTTGCTTCGGGTTTCGTACTTTGCATGAAGAAGGAATGCATGCGTGAATAGAGAAAAATTTTTTTTTTTGAGAAAAGAACTGGGGCAATGGACCTCCTTGCTTCCAGGCTTTTGCTTGGGTTTTGCATGGATTTTGTTTGGGTTTTATTTTGGATTTTGGATAGACTTTGGGTTGGATTTTGGGTAGATTTAAGATTGAGTTTTTTTTGGTTGAAATTTGATTGGGTTAAAAACAAAAAACCTCTACTATTTTTCCAATTTTGAAATCCCATTTTTCTTTTTTCCTTTTCACCTTTTTACACAAACCTACAAAAAGTAAAAATTAAAGTAACTACTTAGGCACTTTTGTAAGTGAAGAATAAAAAATGAAAATAAAAAAAAAATAATTGAGTTGAAATTACGAAAAATTTAGTTTCTACAATTACTTACCTCGAGATCTTCTCAACCTTGAATTTCCTGCCATCCCTCGCCAATACGAATATCTCGTTCACGAAAGGTCCCAGCTTCCCGCTAGGAAGCACCTGAGGATTCAGAACCATCTTCAAGTAATGATCACCGACCTCCGCTCTGCGTGTTTTTTTTTTTTAATACCTCATCGCAGACAGATCTATTGTGCGAGATTGCTGTCCGGTCAACAGCTGAGGTTCAACTGATAACAGAAAAAGGTCAATTTAATTTTAAAACATTATGACATATGTGACGCCCCGAAAGAATGAATGCGAGAACCCAAGAATTTTTTTTAATTTTCTAGGGTTTATTCTATTTAATCGCCCATTTTTTTTTTCTACATTTTCTTTATTAGAAAATTTCCCCAGATAATTTTTATTGAGTAAATATAGTTCTTAGATGATTTTTCTAGTATCGATTAGTTTTTGAAAAATTAAGAACGTATATCGGATGTGGGACCCACTAGTGCGGAAAGTTCGGTAAAATTCGATCGATTAGGTTAAGTTTCGGATACTGGGTTTAATTTACCGGGTGTTATGAGATATTTAGAGGTATCAAGTGGATAGGTGGAAGAGAGAGAAAAAAGTTAGGCAAGTCATTAAATGAGGTGACAAGTGTCACCATAGTATTGTTTCTTACATAAGACCACTATTCAACCTTTTACCAATTACTAAATAAAACCAAAAAAATTTACCAAATATCTTCCATTTTTCTTCAAGCTTGGCCTGCTCTCTCTCTCAAAAAGGAAGGAAGAAACTCTTCAAGTTTTGCTTCTATTTTGCTCCAAATCATCAAAACTAACCATTGAAACTTGAACTTACTCCATAAAACCTCTTCTATTAGTGTTAGTAAGTTGATTGGTGGAGTGATTTGGAAAACTAGAAGGACCTATAGCTCTCTCTCTCTTGTTTTAAAGGTAAGTCATGAAGAACCACCCTCCTCCCTTACTTGATGCTTAAATCATGCTTAGTGGTTGTATGAGATGCAAATTTATGGGTTATTTCTTGATTTGTGGTTGAAATGATGAAGTTTTATTATTTTTGGGAATTTTTCTGTTTTAATATGAACATGATGGTGTGGCTATATATGATGATTGGAAATGGTATATAATGATTCTAGAGGGTGGAAAAAGTGGAAGATTGCAAGTAATTTCTGTTTTGGAAGAAATCTGGAAAATTAGGGTTCCTTGGTTCTTCATTCTGTCCGAAAATTTTGGTCCTAGATAGAGGCCGAATTGGCCTTGGCTTAAAACATGAAAGTTGTAGGGAATGTTATTTTAGAGGTGCCTACAAAATTTCAGGTCAATCGGAGTAGCGTAGAGTGAGAAAAGTCGAAATTACCCTTGCTGTCCTGGTTTTATCCGAATGTAAGAACTGCACCTGTAATTAGTGATTTTGGTTAGGAATGCTTCCGAACTGGTTATTGAGGTCTTCTGATGAAATGTATCCCTGTTTCTAAGCTTTCATGTGGCTTTGGAATTTCTGGATTTGGACTTATATAGGCTGTTTTATGATGTTTGCACTAGAATACGGTTTGTGAACCTGTTATGAGATTCTGGTATAATATGTTACATTTTTGATGTAGTTACACTCGAAATTGGGTTGAGTGGCCTTCTTCAACATTGTAGCCTCTTAAGTCCTGAATCTACCTGTAAAAGTTCAGGTCAAACGGATTAGAGTATCCTGAGTTATGGACAAAACCCTCAGGCCTGTTTTAGACATTAGTTTGTGTACGTTTTGAATTTTAGTTTCTGATCGTGGGTTTTTCCGTGTTGATCATGTACGAACTGGGTGCTGATCCCTTCATATGAAATTTAGATCTTGGTCTCAGCTTCGAAACGGTATAAAGTACGTCGAAATCCGAGTTCCGTAGCTCCTGTTATGACCGAAACAAAAGTGATCGTCAGAACTGCCTTGTATCTGGACAGTTCTGACGGGTACTTTGGCACTCGATTTTCGTTCTGTTTTGAGTGGATTCAGGTCTTGGCCAAAACATCAAAGTTTTAGCCTTATGTCTCAGCTTTCTAATGCCTTTGGAATTTCCTGATTTGGATTTGTGATCTGGGAGTTATGGTCCAGCAAACGACCCTGTTCGTCACCCTAAGACGTAAATTTCTGGTATTGTTTTCTACAATTTTGACCTGCTTCCATTCAGATCTAGATTAAAGTTTCTTCAGGAGATTTGTAACCCTTTCTCATAGTTTCAAAACAGTATCTCGCTCACTTTGATCCGACTTTCCTAGCCTAATCTTTGATCAAAACGGTTTGAGATGGCAGATTTGGCCGTTCCTTTTGCCGTTCTGCACACTTGCATGTGCCAATTTTGCCGTTTCCGCACTTGCGTGTTCCGATTTTGCCTTTTTGCTTGTTTTAACTATGTTAGTAGCTGTTTGTGATATATTGTGACACAATCTTCTATTTCAGACGTTGGTGAGTTAGGTGGAGCCGGTGGGGCCTACTAGCTACTCCTCGCGGCACGAATTTCGTATTTTGCCCTTTTGTTCGTTGTGTAAGTATTCAGGCCGCTTTTAGGTGTTAGTTGCTTATGTGTTTCGACATGTATGAAGAGGGTACTTAGGCGAGGGTGTACTTTATCGCACTCGCTCTAAACCCGAATTTACGCTCATATTTGTACATGACATATGTATGTGAATCATTTTGGAACTAAAACCCTTGAGCTTGTGGCTCGGGGTGATTTTGAATAATTTTGTGAAGTTTGTGAGTTTGGGGCGAGCTCTTGACCTAGATGGACTATTCGAGCCGGTTAGGGCTTGGTCGAAGTCAGTCCAACCTGGTTGGAGGTCACCAAGTTTGTGAATCCGGTTCACCGAGTATGTGGACCAAGTTTGTGACCCGAGCTTGTGACTCAAGCTCAAGTTTGTGATTTCGTTCGCCCGGGCAAGTTTGTGAGGTGACTAGCCAGTGAGGGTGATAAGGTGTCGGTGGGTGTACAAGTGAAGTTCTACGGACCATTAAGTGTGGTCGACGGAGTGTCGGCAGGAGATCACGCATGGCATATGAATTGGCTTTGGAGCCACCTGTATCCTTATTATGTGATGTTATTTTTCTGCTTTTGCTTTACTCTTACTATGTCACTGTTGTTACGTGAAATTTACGCTTTTGCCCCTGTTTACTTACTAAGCATATAACTTACCCCTTTAGTTTTGTTTTCCTTAGCAGGGGAAGACGCGCAAGGACGGGATCTTGGCATACTAGCTTGGTCTAGTTTTTGATTTTTGTAATGGTTCTCACCCTAGTGCTTGGCACGGGTTGGTTGTATAGTGAATTGGGAACCTGTGTATATTCGACGGTTGTACTTCCTCTTGAGATAGTAATGTAGATAAGTTTTGTTTAGGTTTTGGATCGTTATTATGTTATTCTTATGGTTATTCCGGTAGTTGCTTGAAGTGATCAACTGAGTCCCGGCAAGAGCTGGGCAGGCGGCCCGCCGAACCCTCTGGTTCGCCTTAGGGAGAGGTGGGGCTGTCACAACATAACTCTGTAAAAAATGCATATATTATAAATTTAAACCATGCTCTTAAATATAAAAGAAAAAAAATGAGCTTACTTTAATTACACTGGGCAGAAAACTAAGTGAATAAGTGCTGTGTAAATGCCTTTACACTATGTAGCATCTTTCCTTTTCAGTTGAAGTGTTTCATACAAAAAAAAAAAATGTTTCCATCATCTTAGAAAAAACACGTTTTGCTTTCAAGGCCTAGTGCACCTGCAGCATGCAAAGTACACAAACAAATGCACCATTTAGAAATGTAGACCACCCACATTTGGAAAGCAGCCACCAGATTATCCAGCGTCTTAACCTATGCATTGTCTTGAAAGAAAATTCGGGAAATCTCCCAGCAAATTAACCTAGAGTACTGTAAAATGCATGTTCTGTAGTTCACCATTAACTGCATTTTTGACAAAAGGGAGAAGAAATGATTCTCGAGAATTGGGCTAGAATCCAGAGACCTGTATTCAACTTTTTATATTCACTCATTTCTGGTAAACCACATGGGCCTCCTTCCCAAATACCTGATAAAGGCCATCCCCCAATAGTACAGAAAGTGAAAAAAAAAATTTTTTTTTACCAAGGGTATATGACAAGCAGCAAAGTCTCTAACAAGTTTATTTGTAACAAGAACCATGCGTATAATCAGGAAAAAAGAATTAATCTTCTACCAGAAAAATAATCTTAATTAATGTAAAAGGAAAATCAGGAACGGAATTAGTGTGTAACCATATAATCTTCCCTAATTGTAGGATTACAGTCAAAGAAGTCTATGTCAAACAAGTGTACTGTAGCTATGGACAAATGATAGGAAACAAGGTCTAAAAACTTGGAAGGAATTCCCTGATTTCGCCCAGAGTAAGTTCCCAGATTATTGTGTGGATTTTTTTGCTCACAAAGTAGGCCAATTCTGTATCATAATGCATTAAATCTAAAGGAAGACCACCTGAAGTTTATAATGCAATTGGTCTTCACAAATTTATAACGAAAAAATGAGGATGAATGATGGTAAATGCTTACCCAGGGTTCATGTGAACATCGAAATGCACGCCGTCCATAGCCAATATGAACATCTCCTTCACAAAAGTTACGGGCATCCCATTACAAAACACCTAAGGATTCAGAGCCATCTTCGAATAATGACCAATGATCATAGCTTTGGCTTCACTTCCCCACCCCCCCTCTCTTCAAATTTAAATATTGCCAGACAATCTATTGCAATTTGCAAGAGATTGCTGTGCGGTCATGTTGGTGACACAACCTCTAAACCCATTTCAAATAATTGATAAAACATGGTAGTGGCTATCATCCTCGGAACATAAATCAGTAGGCGTATCATCCTTTGAAAGCTGCAATATAACAAAGAAAAGAACAGATAGATGACATAGTGGCCATGCACTTTGACTATTTTGAGAAGGCACAAATCGTGTGGAAACTGTAATCAGAACAGGCAGACCGGTTTTGAAGTGTACCTGCTGTGCTATTAATTTATCTATGCATATAGCAACATAGTTAAAATGATCAGTTGTTAGAAATGTTTATTGAGCTGTCTCGTTGTAGAGTTAAGGTTAGCAATGACCTATTAAAATTTCAGTGTTTACTTTCTTGGACACTGCAGTATTCAGTTGATTTTCTTCTGTTATTTGGTACTTTTGTCCTCTTTATCTCTTCTCCCCTATTCCTTTTTAAACATCTTCCTTAAATCGATTGGTGTCACAACCTCTGCTGTATACAATTTATTTACAGCAATTGTGTTAGTTTTCAATTCTTATTCTACCTTTGTCTGGTGTTGCATTCTCAATGGGTATCCTGATGCTAGATAGCTTTATGCTGTCCACTAATATACGGTTGCCTCCTCTCAGCCTTTGAAAGTTTTTGATCTCTTTAAATTTAATTAAAAAAAAATTTCAATACCATCATGCTGCAAGCAGTTTTGAAATTTAAATTTTCACTGGTGTCATTGCATAACATTTATCCCTTTTACTTTCCACAAATGGAGACACCAGCCATCCTTGTCCTTTTATGTAAAGAACTAGCAGATTAAGATCCCAAGAAGATTTTAGCCTTTTGACAAAAGATTAACAGAAGATGTTAGCAGGCCTAGCAGACATTTAGCATAGACCAAGGAATGACAATGGCAACGACACCCTCAATGGTAATAGATTTACGAGAATTGCTTTTTCTGAAAATTATGTTTGGTATTTTCACCGCAAAATTACGGTTGCCTCCTCTCAGCCTTTGAAAGTTTTTGATCTCTTTAAATTTAATTTAAACAAAATTTCAATACCATCCTGCTGCAAGCAGTTTTGAAATGTAAATTTTCACTGGTGTCATTGCATAACATTTATCACTTTTTACTTTCCACAAATGGAGACACCAGCCATCCTTGTCCTTTTATGTAAAGAACTAGCAGATTAAGATCCCAAGAAAAGGGTAATATGGATTACCCTCCAACTGTGTCTTCGATCTATATTACGCTTCGTTTATGTTTCTTGAATATTTTCTAACTGATGGAAAAATGATAGTGAAAGCTAAACAAAATTCTGGATTTCAAGAGAAGAGTTGAGGTTTTAGGGAAAACTCATGATGATATACTCCCACAATAAGGATTTGACATTTATAAACTCTAAAATTCAATTCTAAAACCTTTTGACAAAAGATTAACAGAAGATGTTAGCAGGCCTAGCAGGCATTTAGCATAGACCAAGGAATGACAATGGCAAGGACCCCCTCAATGGTAATAGATTTATGAGAATTCCTTTTTCTGAAAATTATGTTTGGTATTTTCACCGCAATGGCAATCAACCAAATTTTAGTTTTATCATTTTTTTCCTTCATCTTTTGCTGCTTTTCCTTGTAAGTTTTCTTTTCCTTATTTTCCTTCCCCAGATTCTTTTTTAATCCGTTTCAACAATAAACCCTAATATACAAAAATGACAGCTCCCTGGCTAATATTAAATTCTCCATTGATCTCAATTTTCATATCAAATTGACAAAAACTCAATAGAAGAGGCCAAAAACCAGCACTAAACCTGTTGAGGCTCCCTCCAACCAAATCAAAGCATCCAAATGATCATTTTCATGGTAATACAGCAACATAAATAGTCAATCAACAAACATCAGTCCCATAAGCTTGTATCACGTTCAGGCAACTAAAAACTACAGCTATGCTGAAGCCCAGTGCAAGACTTATAACAATAGTTGAAGAGTAAGTGTTTAATCACCAAATATTGAGTTCAAATTACAAACACGAAAAAAGGTCATGGCAGCATAATGACAATTATTGCCTTCTATTGCTGAGGAGGTTGGGGGAGAAGGGAACCAAGTATTGATAACATACACGGTGGAGGGAAGGGAGAAAGGAAGGGGTTTAGGTGAGGGGAGATTGGAGAGCCATGAAGATTTTTGGGGAGAGAAGTGAAGCATAGATGAGGGCTGCTGGGGTCTAGCTTATTTATTTATTTCATTTTGTTGGTTTTCCAAGCATTAATATTCCGGAATAATGACCATTGCCCAGTTTTATGTCTTCCATAGTGATGGAAACAAACCCATATACGCTAACCAAACATTTATGGGATTCAAGACCTTGAAACCATAGCGGGATAAACTGTATTCCAAGATGAAGTACAATATTTTAGTTTTCATATAAATGTCTTGTAATTGTTATCTATTAATCACATGGTTTAGGTTTACACTACCTCTTGTGACAAAATGAGTCTGGCCAGGAATCAATTGAACTCCAGCCGCTCTTTTGCTCTAGGGATAGGGAGCCTAATACAATTCTTCAGGAAACATGGGTATTGAAAATCTTAAAAACCCATAGGTTCCCAATTTTAAGATTACGTTCCGCTCAGGAATAATAATTAAAATTGAAAGAAAATTTGGCGAACTTAATATCAATAGATCTATGCAAAGAGGCTCGAAAGGGCATCAAAGTTGCTTCAATATGCCCTAGAAAGTTAGGAGAATTCAATATTTTTCAATAGCGAATACTCTGCTGGCTCTGTTACCTCTCCAACCTTCCAAAACTCTGCTGGTGCCAAGTCAATACTCACCCAAACCCCATCGTACATAACCCACTCAAACGACAAAAGCCTTCCTTCTGCCCACCCCCACAAAACAAGAAAAAGAAAGAACCAAAAAAGATCAGCAGGGGAACCACCAAACCGTACCTAGTCTCCCCTCGTGGCATTCTCTAACTGCACTATTCCCACTTCAATGGTTGTAGCACAGCAGCTGTCCATTCCTCTTCATCTGGAACCACGTGCCTGTACCCTGACCACCAAATCACTTCCTCACCTCACGGCAAATATCATGCTTAGCTTCAAATCACACATGTTCTATTCCCCTCTAGTACCACAGCCGACATATCCATTGCCACCAATCTGATCCCTGTCTGCTATGAGTGAAGTTTGAAGTTTATTTGTAGATCTATTTTTGTAAATTCAGGTAAATGACTTATTTTGTTGTGGAGAATGGTCCTGATTTAACACATTTTCTTGTGTAAGTTTAGTTAAAAATTGAGAACTACTTTTAAGTCATCTGACACAAATCAAAACCTAAAGGTGTAAATTGACACCATTATTAACAGAATGAGGCAACCTTGAACTGGATCCTTAGTTCAAGGAGGTTTATTGTATTGTACCATATAATCTAAGTACACTGGTTTCCAGTTAATACTAGACCAACAAATAGTTTGCAAATACTTATAATCTGATAACCCTTATCGTGTACAGATAGGACAGTTAGAAAAAGCATTTTTTTGCTCTGGAACCCAGTGCACCTGTGGCACAAGGAACGTACACAAACAAATGCACCATGTAGAAACCAAGACTACCCACATTTGGAAAGCAGCCAGGAGACAATCCAGTGTATTTAACGTATGCATCATCTTCAAAGAAAAATCACCTTATCTTTCCAGAAATGATTAGGCCAGAAAGAAAACTAGCCTAGAGCACCATAAAGAGCATTTTCTATAATTCACCATTTTTCCAGGAACTGGGCTGGAATTTAGAGTTTTTATTCAACTGTTATAACCATAGTTTTCTGGTAAACCAAGTAGGGCTTGCTCCCATGCGGAAGACACAAAATAATTATTACATCCGGAAAATGTGAATTCACATCTGGCTTGAGACCGGACAAATTAAATGCACAAGCCCCTTGCAGTAGGTATAGTTACTTTATTGACTACAAAACGCTTGAGACTATAACATAATGGAGAATGACGTGTGGAACAAAACGTGCAAAGCCAACTTACCAGGGGCAGATCAAAAGCAGCAAAGTCTCTACCAGGTTTATTTGCAACAAAAACCATACGTATGTTGGACAAGTAACTTATGCCCTTTGCTTTGTCATGTCCTCTTTGAGCTCTGAGAGACAAAAGGAGTTAATTTTCAACCAGAAGAAAATCACTATTAATGTAAAAGGAAAATCAGGAATGAAATTAGTGTACAAGCATAGAATCTTCCATAATTGTGGGATTACCGTCAAACAAGTACTATATATTAGCAATGCATTGAATTAAAACCAGTTGCAGGAAAGGATCATAAGTGCTCTGTAGCTATGGTCAAATGATAGGAACGAAGCCTTTAGAGTGAAGAATAGAGTGATTTGGCAGAAAGTAAGTTCCCAGATTTTAAATTATTCAGTGGATTTGTCGGCCGATCGTGTAATTAGCCGCGTTTACTTCTGAAGGAACACCACCTTTTGATATTTGTTGTAGTATAATATCTTTTCAAAACCTAAGAAAAGACTATCATTGTTGACAGTATCGGTTTAAACATGTGTATATCAAACTATCAAGATTATCCTTTAGACACAGAAATATAAAACACACCCGCTTTAATAATTCTGAATAGCGGTTCTCAGCGTAAAGTGTGTCATCCTGTTTTTAAAATTATGTTTACACTGCCAAGCACATACATCTACAATCCATAGTTACAATTAGCTAATATGCATCAGATGCGTAATTACGTACGAGGATAACACCTTCCAAGGCCCTCCCCTAGTTTGATATGTCTCTATTTAAACAACCCATGTCCACAAACAAAAAGATACCCATTGAACAACCAAAACCTAATTCATCGTCTGCATCCTCAAATCGGGTATAAATACAAGAATTATCCGCGCAGGATGAAACACATCACCTGTGTTTCCATGATTACTACAAAACCGAACAGGAAAAGATGCCGAGAAGGGAAAAACAATTCCGGTTTTTCAATGTAGGAGCCGAAACAAATTCCATAATAGGGCGTCTTACCACAGAGGGATGAATTTGATCTGGTCACGTAACTTTAATAAGGAAAATCTGAGGAGGAACGGTAATTGCTTACCCGGGGATCTTGTCAACCTCGAAGTCGACGCCATCTCTGGCTAATACGAACATCTCGTTCAGAAAGGGCACGGGCATGCTGTAAGGAAACACCAGAGGACTCAGAGCCATCTTCGAATAAAGAACAACAGTCTCAACGCAGCTTAATTTTTTATTTGATTTTTGAACGGATAAATCAGGAGAGATTGCCATGCACGGAAAACGGGTGATGTAATTTGATTTAAAAAGATCAAAGAACGAGATATGAATAGAAGCTATAACGTCATAATTAGGAATTCGTTTCCGTAATTGAAGAAAAGTTACATCCATCATTCGGTACAACCATCGCATTAGTATTTTCTTTTATCGTAATTTTTTATTTTATTGTGTTATTTTTCCGTAAACGTTCACGTTGTTCCGGACAAATTTTAGATTAATTCGGTGCTCGCACCCCTAGACTTTGGGATATTTACGATATGACGCAATGAACTTTGGAAAAATGCAAAATTACCCAAACTTTAGGGTTTAGGGTTTAGGGTTTAGGGTTTTAGGGTTTTGAGGGTTTAGGGTTGAGGGTTGAGGGTTTAGGTTGAGGGTTTAGGTTGAGGTTTAGGGTAGGCCTGTCAATCGGGCCTAATGAGCCGGGCTTTGATGAGTTCAAGCTCAACTCATTTAATTTGAGACATTTTCGGGCTTCGGGCTATGAGTTTCGGGTTCGTAAATGTGAAGCTCATACTCAGCTCACATAATATTCGGGTTGTGAGCCTTAATCGGGCTTAGCCCAAGCTCACTTATTACTCCTGAATTTTCTTAATATAATTACTATAACTATTAAGTTGTAAAACTAATTTAACATTTACAAGACTATAATATTAAAACTAAACATGAACAAATAATAGTTCTTAAAAAGTATATAAACCAAAATTTTTTCAACAATATTTATATGTAATCCGTTTAAAATGCATGAAAAATAGTAATAAAACATGCAATCATAAGCCAATACATCTTTAAAAGTTGAAACTTTTTTTATAATCTTGTGATTTAAATCCAAATATGCTTGATGATTTTTGTGTTTGTAGACCAAAAAAAAAAAATCAACCAATAATATGCCAATACAAAAAGTTACTCAACCAATAAGAAAAATTAGAGATTTAGTTATGCATTACTAATATTGGCTCTCAAGAAAGCTCATGAAAGAGTCTTTAGATGTGTTTTTGTGTTTTGTAATTTATATATATATTTAGTATTTAGCAAAAATATATTTGGATATATAATTATACATAATATCAAAATATAAATATTATATATATAGGTAATTAAAGGGGCGGGCCTATATCGGGTATGAGCCTAATAAGGCCCAAGCTCGGCTCACATTTAATTCGGGCCTAATTTTTAGGCTCAAGCTCAGACCGGCTCACTAAATGATCGGGCTCATCGGGCTTTCTGTCGGGCCGAACGAGCCGAGCTCGGGCTGGCCTAGCCCCATTGACAGCCCTAGTTTAGGGTTGAGGGTTTAGGGTTGAGGGTTGAGGGTTGAGGGTTTAGGGTTGAGGGTTGAGGGTTGAGGGTTTTAGGGTTGAGGGTTGAGGGTAGGGTTGTTGGTGAGCCGAGCTACTCGCGAGTAGCTCGCGAGTAGCTCGGTCAACAACTCGACTCGAACTCGGGTTGACCGAGTTCGAGTCGAGTTTCGAGTTACTCGACTCCAAATCGAGTCGAGTATCGAGCCCCTATTTTCGAGCTCGTGGCTCGTCGAGTAGCTCGACGAGCCAGAGTTAATTAAATAAAATATTTATAATTTAAATAATATATATTTATTATAATTATAAAATGACTATTATGGATATAAGTTTTATGAAATTTACAATATTACCTTCTTTATAATAAAATCCTATAATGGCAAAAAAGTAATAACATAATTGTAAAAAACACTAAAAAGAAAAAATGTCTAAAAAAAAGGAAGAAAAGACTTTCTTCCTTCTCTGTGCCGACTGTGCGACTTTCTTCTCTGTTCGAAGCCTAGCAAAAAAATTCACTTTACCAATCTACACCCTCACTCCGTTCGTCGCCGACGCCGTTGCTCGCCGCATCTGTGAGACTCCATCGCCATCGCCATCGCCATCGCCATCGCCTTAACAAGTCCCAAGTCCCAAGTCCCAAATCGAAGCTGCTCTCTGCCTCTCCGGCCTCCGCCAGTCCGCCGCGCTGTACGTCTCCTGTCGGCTGTGTCCTGCCGTGCTGGTTCATCGCTGCCGAGTGTCGAAGACGAAGCACCAAGATCTCACTGGTTCATCGCTGGTTCATCACTGCTCATCTCTGGAGCACTTAGGTAAGTGCTCCTCTGTTTTTGGCTCTGTGTCTCTGGCATTAAAATGGGCCAAGATCGACTAGGAAACTTGTTATCCTGAATTGATAAGGGGACGAAATCTGAGCTTCCAAATGCAAACTCTAACTGTTGTAGTAGTTTAGATTAGGTGTGATATAACATAAGCTTTGTATTTTATACACAAGAAGCTCTCTCCAGTTGTGCAGCCTTTAAAAGTTAAGGCCTTGGGGTTGAGGCTATGTATAGACATTTGTAATCTTGTAGAAAGTGGGGTTGAGGCTATGTGTTGGTGTTCCACTTCGGGTGTTTTGTTTACGGAGTCTTGAAGGTCTTAACTTGCTTGTTTGATGCTAGAGTTTGCACCCTTGCGACTTCTGAAAGATTTACATTTCTGGGACCACACATGTATTAGCTTTAAGTACAATGTGATTTCTGTGCTATTTAGTCAATTTTTATAATTTCATGGCTGAAAGGAATAAATTTGCTTATTTTATGTGTTCCTGGGTAGTTAAAACCTTTATTTGAAGTTTTTGTAGTAGAAGCTACATTCCATCAGATAGTTGTTAGTGTTGTTTGAGGATTTTGCTCTAGTATCTGCTGCATTTTCCTTTTTTGCCTGCCGTTTGTATAAACTTAATGACTATTGTCTAGTTTTGTTGCATTAGTTCGTGCCTGCATTAATTTTTTTGCTCAGAAATATTAATTGTTAGATCTTGAAGTTGGAGTACGCAGGCAGTACCCCAATAAATACTCCTGAACCCTAATTCCCACTCCCTATCAAGTTTAATGCATGCAACTTCTACCCACTCTTTTGATTCTTGGATGAAAAAGAGAATCAATGTGGATCCAGAGAGCCCTTTGTTTTCTTTGGAAGAAGGAAATCATCATCAAAGCCAAGGGCTAGCTGAACATGCAATGTGGCAGTATTTCGATATGTACCATTATTGATTGCAGAATCATAATTATTATTATTTGTGTTTCATAGTAGAATATTATTTGGTATGTAGTGGTTGTCTTTGCTAATAGAATAGTTGCTGTCCGGAATCCTCTAATTAGTTTTGGGGGCCGGACGCTGAATCAGAACCTTCTTCTTCAACAACAATCCCATTCATTCCTTCCTTCCATACGGTAAAGAAGAACCAAAACTTTGATGAAGAAGGTGGGTAGGGTAGGGTTTAATTGCCCCGGAGAATTTGGTTCAAAGAATGTGCATTATACATAGTTAAAACAGTTTGTGCCTTCCCACTCCCCCTCCACCCCCTTCAAGATCTTGATGTTATGAGAGGGAGTGTTGTGAGTCTCATTGTTTGTTGGAATGGTTAGAAATTGAAGCCAGATTTCTGGTTGCTGAATGGTAATTGATATTTGCTCGTTGGAGAAGATGATCACTTGTCCAAAATTGCAATTTCGGTCCCTCCGTTTTCTTTTTGTTTAGTGATTTGGTCCTGTCTTTTCCTGAGCTTCATATTTGCCTCCAACACCATCATAAGTCCCTTAATTAGGTCCCTGCTTTGTTGCATTTTAATCCCTCAAGTCCCCCTTGTTCACCGTAGCCTCAAAATTTGGAAAAATCAAATCCATTTTGCCTTTCTTGAGCTTAATCCTATGTTTGCCTATTTTATATGACTTTTTGGGATAAATTAATTCTTGACTTTAGATCATAATTGTGGCTTAATATTTTTTGTTAATTTGTTTATGTTATTGGGTTTAGTATTATGGTTTAAGTTTTTTGGGTAATTATATTTGATTAGGCTTGTAAAAATTCTTTTTCTTTTTCTGCTCCTTCTTAGACCACACTTTGCTGTTTTGGATGTCTTACTACCTTCATGCCTTCTGAATCCAGTCGGGCAGAATCTTTGTCAAGAAAATGCAAAGTGGCACTAGACATTCAACGAGTTGCTCAAGATTAGAAGGCAATGTCGAAGGAGTTGGTAAGCTAAATGTATAATATGGTGGCTCAGCTCATGTTTTGCTGAGTTTTGAAATTTTGTGGGGAATTTTGGTTAGTTTGGGTACTTTTGCAGCACACTTAGGAACTATGATCCGAGGAATTAGAATCATCCATATTTTCTGCTCTTGTGGGCACCTACCGTTGGTGGGTAATTGCTGAATTTGAAAGTTTCATGTCAAGCAATCCAGCAAGTGGGAATTTCCCTTTTTTCTTCTCTATTCTTCTTTGTGGTGAATCTGATTTTTAGGGGTGTTAAAGATGCTAACTGTAGGAGGTAGAATGTGGATACTTTTAGTTGTATTTGTATTGATGAATCATGGATTTTATGCCTCATTTACTCCAGCTGATACCTACTTGCTTGCCTTTGAATCTTCCCAAAACATCACCTTTGATCTGTTTTTTTCGTCAAATCGAGTCAAAAAGCTTGATAAGACTCGACTTGATAAGGCTCGATTCAAGATCGAGCCTTATCGAGTCGAGTCTCGAGCCTGAGGAAATTCTTCGAGTCGATCTTCGAGTATCGATTTTCTTGGCTCGATCGAGCTCGAGTCGAGCTCGAGCCTCTGTGTGTATGAGTCGAGTCGAGCTCGAGTATAGTGATACTCGAGCTCGACTCGGCTCGATTACATCCCTAGTTGAGGGTTGAGGGTTTTAGGGTTGAGGGTTGAGGGTTGAGGGTTGAGGGTTGAGGGTTGAGGGTTGAGGGTTGAGGGTTTGAGGGTTTGAGGGTTTGAGGGTTTGAGGGTTAGGGTTGAGGGGGTTAGGGTTTAGGGTTTAGGGTTTAGGGTTTAGGGTTTAGGGTTTGGGTTTAGGGTTTAGGGTTTAAGGGTTTGGGTTAGGGTTTAGGGTTTAGGGTTTAGGGTTTAGGGTTTTAGGGTTTAGGGTTTTAGGGTTTAGGGTTTAGGGGTTTAGGGTTTAGGGTTTAGGGTTTTAGGGTTTAGGGTTTAGGGTTTAGGGTTTAGGGTTTAGGGTTTAGGGTTTAGGGTTTAGGGTTTAGGGTTTAGGGT